TATACCACCCTTTACTTATATATACTTTATTGTTTTTTAAATTAAGTGTAAGGTATTACTTCTATACCACGTGAAATATAATAATGCAAAAGATTTACAAATGCAGCTATGATATCAAAGTAATTATTACTTTTAAAAAAGGATTGTGTTAGGAGGAGCCACATAAGTCTTTTTGTCTAAAAGCTATACATTAACGATACATTATAGGAGGGAGGCAAATGTCTCCTGTCTCATATTCGCTACTCCTATTTGAATTACCGATCAGCAGTGAACCAGTTTCTCTGGCTGATTACCTGAAAGCTTCAGAGTTGAATACATGATAATCATTTTAACCTTCGTCTCAATATAGAACTATATCCCCGCATTATTTGGCAGAATCAATTACTCAACATACTCCAAGCATTTCAGGCTAGATAAGAATAATATTATGGATCGCTCCATTCAGGGGCCACTGCACGTTTTTCCATCCACAACATTTGTTACAGAATCAATTTCTTTCCATGCAAGCTCAGTGCAGAATCGCGAAATAAACGAAATAGAGTATTCGTGATATTTTAGGGAGCAAGATGATTTGATCTAGAGGTTTTTTTCCTTCAAAATATGCTATGTTTTCTTATTGTACATAAATCTATTGTAATAAAAGAACGTAATATTCAAAATGTGTGCGTGTGTTTGTGTGATTGAGTTTTGAAGAAGTAACGTATATCAATCAGAAAAATAATAGTACGGGATATTACAGCTTGACCAAATCACATTTCCTTCAGCAATAGAAACCATCACTTATTTCGTGATACAGGCGATATGATTTGTTAATTGATTCTCGTCTGTACATATTGAATCACCGCCCATCATGAACGTAAATATAAACACTGCTAGCACTCCGCAATATACTTCTGAGTATCAATTCATTAAAAAAAGATCTATTTACCCCATACCACACTTTTAACATGGACCCTTTTTAGTTCCTCTTTCGTTTTGAAGTTCAGAGTTGAATATTAATATAGGTTTATACAACCATCATTAGTCGCATTTTTTTCAGAGAAGTACATGAACGAACATACAAACACAATAGGTATTCAGCTTTGAAGATTTTCCGACATCTATAGCTCGAAATTTTGGTGCTATCGGTGCCAGGTAAAAATGTCAGAGGAAAAAATATCAGAGGTAAAAATGTCAGAGGAAAAAATGTCAGAGGAAAAAATGTCAGAGGTAAAAATGTCAGAGGTAAAAATGTCAGAGGTAAAAATGTCAGAGGTAAAAATGTCAGAGGTAAAAAATGTCAGAGGTAAAAATGTCAGAGGAAAAAATGTCAGATGTAAAAATGTCAGAGGTAAAAATGTCAGAGGTAAAAATGTCAGAGGAAAAAATGTCAAAGGTAAAAATGTCAGAGATACAAAAAAAAAGGAAGGAACAAAAAAAATGTAGGGGAAAAATTGGTGCCATCATAATATCTCGGCACTTTATCACACAAAATGTCAAGATGTAAGCTACTGGGCTAGTCTATTATATTTTATAAATGTCTGTGTAGTGTACTTCGTACATGTCCTGAGGATAATACAATGTGGAAAATTGAAACTTGTATTTTGTGATGGTTTGCATATATTAATTTCTATCATTTTTCGATATTTTAAATTGGTTGATGTTTTAATGTTTATTTGGTTTTGAGGAAGTAGGCCTAAGTACATAGAATATTAAGATTGAATGAGATACAACAGGGAATCAGTTATAAAGATTGCACAGAAATTCCACAAATTTAGTAATTAGACCCATCTTCATGTCCATCCCAGCAAAGACTGTTATGACAAGAAAACATTAATAAAAAGACTCGGATGCTTTGTCCCCCTCATCGATACTTTATTACAAAAGTTTAACAAACAATATCAAAGCTTCGCTTGAAGAATGTCAGATAGTAGGCCTACAAGTGGTAAACGTTGAGACATATCTACCTAGGTATTTTGTCATGTGCTTTCGAGTTTCGACCATAACACTGCGTAACTTTATATTTTAAAAAAAAAATCATGTTTGTGATTAAGAAACGTGGGAGAAATACAGTATAAGTATCTCAATTTCAACTGTTTTTGTTCTGCCAAATTCATGATGCATTGTGTTTAATGTGTAGACTTGTACGAATATGTACCTGCTGGAAACTGTCGTATACAGTGTATGCCAGCACACCTCGTATAAATCCTGCACCAAATATCCTTTAAACAATATTATCATGTATACAAGCAGTATCATGATCAGGGGCGTCAATCCTGGGGGGGGGGGGGGGGGGGGGACACGTCCCCCCGCCCCCCCCCCCCCCTCCGCCCAGAAAGAAGTTCTTTGATAATTTAATGTAACGTCAAAGCTTCCGCGCGGGAGGGTGGGGGGGGGGGGGGGGAGGAACTGAATTCAAACAAGGATTAAGAGTCGAGAACGGTATACAACGAATCGTCTTCTTTCTCTAAAAATGTAATGAAACGTCAAATATAAAAAAGGCAATGAATGAACCGGTCACCAATGAAATTACATGCCGTGAAACAGAATAATAGAGAGAGAGAGTGTGTGTGTAGCAACATAACGTGGTATACTTGTCAAAGTAACTGTTAATGTGACATGTTTATTCTGTCCCCCCCCCCCTCCCCCATGCTCTAACTCGGATTGACGCCCTTGATCATGATGCTATAAATGTGTACAGTAAAACTATGTTTCTGATATGTTACTCATGAATAAATATTTGTCAATTTCAGAGTTTGATCTCTCACAGCAAATAATTATAGAACGATGTAGCTTAAACAGAACCTCTACAGAGCGCGCACTAGTCTTATCTGGAATGTGATGGTGCGGTTAGTATTTGATGTAACATTGGCGGCTTTCTGCTTTGTATCAGAGTATCAAGCTGCTTATCGATGTTCTCCCAGACTATTTATACCGCAATAGTCACTCTTTGCAAAGCGCACGCTTCTCTGGAATGTGATGGTGCGGTTAGCATTTGATACATGGGCGGCTTTCTGCTTTGTATCAAGGTATCAAAGTATCAAGCCCACAAAAAGTGAAATTGTTGGAAATATGCATTTGTAGGAAATTACATTTTATAGTAGTCATTGCCACATTTTAAAATGTCCATCAATCTTCAGAAGGGATGGTGAAGTGGGGGCGGACGGGGGGCGGAGGGGTGGCGGGGGTGGCGGAGGACTCACAGCGTGATATCTTATCTTCTTTCTTTTTTTTGGGGGGGGAGGGGGGCTGTGATGACTTTTCTTTTTATTTAATGATTACACCATCGAGCCACAACTCGGCCTATAATTATTCATTGCCAAACTACTCGATTTTAGACATTCTTTTTTCCCAGAAGTTTGCTCAGTGTACCAGTATCACTTGCCTAGACAAAGGCATATGAGGGGGAGGCAGCCGGGTCACTACGAAGGATGCACCCCCCCCCGGCAATAATCGGGCAAAAGGTCCCAATTTCGGGCAGAAAGATAATTATAAAAGTTACAGAAAGAAGAAAATAAAGCAGCGCTGAAATTAATGAAATTTTTTACCTCTGACATTTTTTCCTCTGGCATTTTTACCTCTGACATTTTTACCTCTGACATTTTTTCCTCTGACATTTTTACCTCTGACATTTTTACCTCTGACATTTTTACCTCTGACATTTTTACCTCTGACATTTTTTCCTCTGACATTTTTACCTCTGACATTTTTTCCTCTGACATTTTTACCTCTGACATTTTTACACCGAGCCGAAATTTTGCATCTTTTGCCCCCATTTTGTTGTTGAATGGAGTGGCATGCCCCATCCTCCCTTGACTGACACCCCTGGACCGGATGCACATTATAATGGCTACAGATTTATCATTAGAACAGAGACATAGTTACAGTTTCTCTGATCTGAGCAAGGAATTGTATGTAATCTGTTTTTAAAAGCATTCGCATTATAGCATTTAGAATATCCAATGTAATTGCAATCACAGTGTTAATAATATATAAATTGGTAGAAAATACTGAATTATTTTTTCAAGCACGATTGCAACTACTTTCGCAAATTCAAACGAGTCAATTTCAATAGCCTTGTGCGTCACATATTGAAACGTGCAAATATGACAATAATATATTACGTAATCCGAAGTACGTAATTCTAAGAAGATTTCTATTGAATATACAAGAGGGTTGAAATTGCCCATGAGTTGATTTTTCGAAGTAAGTTGCAATTGTGTTTTCGATTGAAGTGACGAAAATCTCCTGCATTCGAGCCTAAGGCAACAAATAAATGTTGTACCAATGGACAAATCCTTTGTCAATTAAAAATAAATCCTGACTCTTGTAAAACCACCAAACGCTGCATAATACAATGTCAGAATTAAAATGTCTGAAACAATCTATTGACATTAATTACCGCTGACGCTGTATATTTTGGAAGAACAAAGACTGTAATCAGTTTTCCAATATTACTTGAAACTCTGCCATTTAGTTCAACGAGCACATACTATAGTGTCACACACTTCAGTACTCAAACTGAAAAAGATAATAAGAAAAGCATAACAATTATTATTAATGAGAGAAAGCTTCCAATTTTCTTGACGGACTATCGAGGTGGAGAGGAGGGACTGCTACTCCTAGAAAAGTACAAATTACCAATATTGAGGTAAATGTCACGTAATTTTTGGACAGCGAGACGGGCTATTTCTATATTTGTATTTATCAAATGTGATAATGATGTGGATGAGTTTTATCGCTTGGCCAGCTCATAAAATATTTAGAAACTGGAAAGTTGATATTCAGGCAAGAATTGTCAGCCCCCCCCCCCCTCACCTTCATGGCAAAATCGTATTGTTATGCCCATGATTTTTCCCCAGCACCACACACAAAAACACGATTGGTGTTGATGATTCTGTAATGGGAATTTCCCCGGTTTTCACCAAACTCTGTTGGTGCTATACCGGAATTTCCTTCTTCACCTTATACCCCGGAAAGAAAGTGAAAGTGGAGTAGAGAATAACATGGAATAATCTAGACTTCTGTTTGAAACCCTCATTTCTTGTGGAAACTTTGCCACAAACAGTTCGTCAGATCATTAACTGCAGGATGAAGCTGAAATGTTCGTTGGTTTTCCTGCTACTAGCAGGTTAGTTTTAGCTTTGTTTTGAGCTCAGTAACTCGGAATATACTAAGATTTTTAATATTTTAATTAACAACATGATCTCAACTACTTAAGACGATTTCCATAGCCCTGTTACCTATTGAATTGTGCGAACATCATAGTGATGTATTACTTAATCTGAACATGATTTCTAAGGAATATACAACAGGGTAGTGAAATTGCCTTTGAGTTAATTTTTCGATATAATGTAATACTAATTATTAATGTTTTGATGTTACTGTGTAGTTGATAGTCTTGATAGAACGAATACTGTGTTCTGTGCACGTAAAGATATAGTTTCACTATTCTCCTGTTAGGATGATGAGGAGTCACAGCATTCACTTGGCGCCATTTTCGGCGTTAAATATTCAAAGGTGCAAATTTGATTGTACGCGCGTAAATATTTACATTTTCGTCAACTGCTAGCTTGAAAGTAGTTCCCTTATTTTCAATTTTTGTATTTTTATATTATGTTATGTTAATATGTTCTCACGGGTACGACTGGATATCATTACCCTCATCATAATGAAATATCACTTGCCTTTTTATCTCTCTTACTTTACATTTACTTTTAAACTTGACAACTCAATACTGCATATTCAAACATTTTGTTCTTCATTTCCCTCTTTCATTTCTTCTTTCTTTTCTTTCTTTTCTTTCTTCAGGAATGAGTTGCAGAGTGTCGTGCATGTCTGTAGCAGATGTTGATGAATTAACATGGGGCGAGTGGGGTGAGTGCACACGACCATGTGGGGGCGGCACTCAGTCACGTCATGCCGTCTGTGAGGAGAGACTCGAACCGCAAACCTGCCTGTACCTGAAGAGTACCATTGCCAGGAATCAGCTGATAGAGGAACAGGATTGTAACACGCAATCGTGCATAGGTACAGAATAAGAATTATTATTTGGAGAGCCAGGACGACATATGAAAGGGCATGGGATTTTCAATTATATTGCAACCATTACCATAAAAGAACATGCTAGAATGTCTGAAAAAATGCAACTACTGCACCATCAGAATCAGTTATTGGTAACAGATGTGGGAAATAATAATAAAGTCAATAAACACATACAAAAAAACCTAGAAAACTAAAAACATACAAACAAAACAAAGGTTGTATGAAGGTGGGGAATATAGTATTTGAAATTCATGTATACATGAGATCAGGGGCGGACGAGCGACTTCCAAAGTGGGGGGGCACCAACAAAAAAGGGCACTTTCTGAAGAAAAAAGGGCACCTACAGTGGGAAATCTCAAAGCGAAAATATACAATTTTTTAGACATTGGTACATACCCCTGCATTGTGATTACATTATCAGGGATTATTTCAATATTTGTTTCTCTTCATACATCATACAAGATATCGCTTAAGCATCATACTTTACAGTTGGGTGGGATGGCTGAATATGCATTTACGAGCGAGCGAAGCGAGCGAGAAAAATTTTAAAGATCTGCGAGGTCGCAGTGCGAAAAATTACATCTTATAAAGAGGAAAAAAGCCAATCGTAATGGGGTTATAAGCACATTCTCATAACGGAAGACTGAAAAGACCTTTGATAACTAACATAATTATATCATCTTTAAATGCGAGCGAGCGCAGCGAGCGAACTTTGGGGGAAATTGCTCTTACTCGCTTTAAATAAGGGGCATGTTTAATGATTTCATGAAAAGGGGACAATTATCGAAAGGGATAAGACACTTATTAGAAAAGAAAAGGAGCACGTGTCAAAGTACAAAGGATAATTATAAGAGGTGAACATGAGGCATTTTTTCACCTGAAAAGAGGGACTCACCTGAAGAAAAAGAGGCGTTTACGAAAATGGGAAATAGGCATTTGTTGACGGAAAAAGGGCACCCATCAGATTTTTATAGGGGCATTTATAAGAGGTGAAAAGGGGACAGATCCCTTATTAGAAAGGAAAAGGGGCACGTATCATTATTAAAAAGGGAATTATCAGAGGTGAAAAGAGGCACTGACCAGATATGAAAAGGGGCACGTATGAAAATGTAAAAGGGGCACTAATAATAAAGGAAAATGTGCATTTGTTGAATGAAAAGGGGGCACCGTTCACATTTAAAAAAAGGGCCGTTATGAGAAGGGGAGGGAGCTTTTTCTTTTTAATGGGGGCACTTATCATAAGGAAAAGGGGCACTTATTAGAAAATAAAAGGGGCACATGTTAAAATTAAAGGTGTGCTCATCCGAGTTTAAAAAAGGGGTAGTTATTAAAAGGAGAAGGGGCACTTCTTACAAAGGAAAAAAGGGGCAGTTGTCAAAGTAAAAGGAGCACCTCTCAGATTTGAATAGGGCAATTATCAGAGGTGAAGGGGGCACTTATCAAAAGTGAAAAGGGGCAATTCTCGTACCTGAAAAGAGGCACTTACTAGAGATTAAAAAGGGCACTTATTAAAGATAATTTCAAGATTGATGAAAATGGAAAATGGACACTTATTGCAAAGGAAAATGGGAACATGTCAAAGGAAAAGGGGCACGTGTCAAAAATAAAAAGGGCACTCGTCAGAGGTGAAAAGGGGCACTTTTATTAAGTAATAGGGGCACTTGTCAAAGTAAAAGGGGCACTTTTCCTATGTAAAAGGGGCACTTCTTACAAAATAAAAGGGGCACTTTTCCTATGTAAAAAGGGGCACTTTTGGGGTATCTGAAAAAGTGGGGGGGCACTGTGCCCCCCCTGCCCCCCCGGGAGAACCGCCTCTGCATGAGATGTTCAGAAGAAAAAGATAGTTAAAAGATAAGAACTCACCATTCTCAAAATAACATCGTAGTATTTTGGGGTCAGAACCACGTTCTTAGCGGTTGATCTTATTAGTAATCATCATAATAAGCCTAGTATCTCCTTGACTGTAGTGCTTCTACAAAAAAAATACTAAAAATACAAACTTAAAGGTGAGCATGCAAAGAAAATCATTGGCAAAAAGCAGTACGAATTGTAATAAGTCAAACAAAACCTTACTAAATTGTTGCAGAGACAGGTACATGGGGTGACTGGACCGACTGGCTGCCCTGCTCTTCTACCTGTGGGTCATTAGCCTTCCAGATGAGATCGCGATCCTGTTACGATGGCAACAACATCACCCAAGGCTCATGGAACTGTGAGGGTTTGACCTACGAGTGGCGTCCGTGTCAGGGGTTGCCGCCGTGCCCTAGCAACGACCCTAGCAACAACGTTACCCCAGATGTTGATCCTGGTAAGTATACTAGCTAATTATAACGGCTTCAGGCGCGTACGCAGGGGGGAGGATGGGGGGTTAAACCTCCCCCTAGAGTTTTTTTTTAAGGTGTTTGTTTTGTGTATGTTCTTTTGGAACCCCCCCCCCCTTTTGATTTTTTTTTTTTTTAATAAAAAAAATAAAAAATTATGCCAATGGCTGACCTAATAAAAGGTGACTTAATCCCCCCCCCCCCAACGGAACAAAATGTCAAATTTTCAAATTTCGAGACCAAACAAAAAAAAGTGTCCTCTTCTCTTAACCCCCCCCCCCCCCCCTCCCCGCTTATTCAGCGGCTGGCTGAGTCGTTGCGAAATTTTTGGCCTGATCTTAAAACCCCCCACCCCCTTGAAAAAATCCTGCGTACGCCACTGAACGGCTTACTGATTTAGGCAAGGTTTAAGCCTCACAAGGGGGTAGATTAAATCGACTGACTTATAGAGTATCAAGTGTCAAACTTGTACGACAAAAAATACTATTATTCTGTCATTAAATGCACTAACAAAATATGCCGGCGTGATTCTTTCCTTTCATTTCATTATATGACAGCATTCAATGCATTTATTTATTCAATTACATAACTACAGTAACTCCTATAGAATATGAGCCTGACATTATTTTGGTTATCTGTAATAAGTAAGTTTTACCACTGATTTTGACCCCAAAAAAGAGATCGGGCGAGGTTTAACTTGGTTAAACCTGGTCCACTTTTATGATTACGAATGATTGTGAACTACCTTATGGTAGATATGCGGCTATGCTATTTTAGAAATCAGAAGCATTCCGAGCTCGATCGAAGTACCGAATCATTCGTACATTGAACATTCAATACTGACCTAGGGCATGGGTTTCTGATATTTCTGATGAACCGGGATTTCAAGAAACTTGCGCGAGTTGTGAAACCGCTTCCGTGAAGCAGCGTTTCCTATATTGCCTTGATCCAATACTGCTTCAATTTTTTGTTTCAAATTTTAAATTTATTGGGGTGTGCAACTAACTCTTCGCGCATTTTCAAGTACAATTAGATTGTTCACAATTTTGATTGAAGGCAGCAATCTTATCATTATAATAAAAAGAAAATTGGCCTCAAAGTCTAATATAACGAAAACACATTATTCATCTTTCACGTATCACATTCCATTAAACGGTTCGCTGTTATCAGGAAAAGCATCCCCCCCCCCCCCAAAAAAAGACAAAATGACAATTTAATTGGAAGGATAATTCGTGGTTGATTCTTTAGCTGCATTATCTGCACAGGGGGGGGGGGGGGGGAGCAGAGTCGCTGCTACAAAGCGAGATCAAAAGAAAAAGAAATTTGGAAATATGATGGGAAACTTGTTGTAAGAAAATATTAGGTACGTATAAGAATGTCAGTGCTTAGGAAAAGGGTAGGCCTATAAGTTACGAAATAATTTATCACAATCTCTGGCTTGCTTTATGTTTGCCTCAACAGGAATTCCATACGAATCACACAGCTCCTTTCAAAGCTTCGAAAAGCTCTTTCAGGTAGTCCATTCCTTTGCCTTTCGATGATGATAATGAAGAAACTGTTGTTGATGATGATGATGATGATGATGATGATGATGATGATGACAATAGTCTTCATGACAATTATGGTGACGATGACTGTGATGATGATGATGCTGATTATTATGTTGGTTCAAATAATGTACCGTATATGGCTTCATATCTCTGTCAAAATCACTAAAATATGTGCCGTGTGATATTCAATGAATTTTAAATAACTTCATAAGTTATATTAACTAACCTTATAAATTGTTCTCTTTTTCTTTTATTCTTTTTAGAAATGTATGCCTACCATTTAAAACTTTTATGCCGTTTTTTGATCCACTCACAAATCAAACCTAAAGTTTCTGATAAAATATTTTTTTTTTTTTTTTTTTCCAATTGATTAATGGTCAACAGTCTAAAATATTTCTGAAATGTTAAGAAGTGTTACAAGTCGAACAAAATATAAATCATTCAGCAATTAAATTTTATGCAAAATAATAAGAAACTATTTTCACACTGATGATTGCATATACCTCTTCCCCTCTTTTTTAAATGGGCATATCAATCCGTCTTCAGAATAGGGAAGGGGGAGGGGCAAGCATATGATCTTAATAGAACAGAAATATCATTTTGAATTATTATTATATTCCGCTTCACAGAATCAATGTTCCAGGTTCTACATAGTATATTTGAAAACCATTTTACCACTCTTCTTGTACATATTTCTTACCCCAATACTCAGGAGGAGGAGGGTCCGTCCATCGAAAGTAGCTACAGTGTGTAAGACAAGACCAATCCACTTATTCTCCAACAGAAAAAATGGCAGCAACGAGTGGACCAGGGGTAGCGTCTTTCAAAGTGTGTATGGGAAAGGGGATCAACAAACAAAAACCAAACAAAAATTCTGGAAAATAGGAGGCACCTACAATGGGTAATCTTAATGCGGAAAAATACAAATTTGTTACCATTTTTATGTATCCCTATAATGTAATTAGTACATTATCAAGCTTAGGATATCTTCAAGATTGTGTTTTTGGTTTATGTGGTCCAAGATACGGTTTTAGCATGACACTTTGCAGAACTAGAGAACTTTAAGATTTGTGAGATCTTATTTAAGGGAAAATAATCAAAGACCAAGTCCACAACGTTTGTAAGTCAGCTTAATGAAAGAAACAGTAAAATACAATAAGTGTTTAAATGTGTAATTTCAATTTATTTTCCATGTGGTTACATGCACTACACTATGAATATTCTCATGTATACAGAGTTATTCTATCATCCATTTAACTTGCATAGTTGTACTAAAATATAATCAAAATTATATTCTTTCATACATCTTTCATCGGTGTGAACCGATTCATCAAACATAAAAAGAATTCCGCCATAATAAAGTCAGCTAAAATCATTTGAAGTTTCAAAAGAACAGAAGGCTAAAATGTTGCTTAAAGCATGAATCAAATGTGAAATCATGTTGTTTAACACAGCTGTTCCCAAAAATGTGTGCACAATTTCAGATTATTTCTTCACAATATTCAAAATATAAGTTTAGCAGCAGAAATGATATTTTGTACGAGTTACCATCAATGCAGTGAAATCATCAGTTAAATATAAGTTCTTACCATGTTTTTGTAAATAGTTCTCTTACATAATTACATAGTACACTACTTGTAAGGAAGTATACTTTTATAGTGAGACACTGTTTTGTACACAGCAATTGAAATTACATAGAACATTGTAGCTTGCTTTTCACTATTTAGAGAGAATGTAAAATAAGCATTTTTAAGTGACCCTGAATTAAATTCATATTTCAAATATCACAGTGAATGTCTATCAGCTCACTTCATTTTAACAAATAGTATATTCCTATGTTTTACTTTGAATTTTCACAAATAGTATATTCCTATGTTTTACTTTGAATTTCACACTCATCTATTTCAGATGCACAACCAAAATGCAAGATCTACTTCCCTTGTAACTGAATGGGTTGTGACACACAATAATGCTTGTGTGGCCCAATAGTGACAGTGAAAGTGAAGAGAAAGAGAAAGAGAAAGAGAAAAGAGAAAGAGAAAGAGAAAGAGAAAGAGTGAGAGAGAGAAGCAAAAACTAGAAAGAGAGAGAGAGAGAGAGAGACTAAATGTGTGTGTGATTTCACAAGAAATTGAATGTGGGTTATGCCCTGCCCTTTTAAGGTGTATCAAAAAGCAAAGAAAGATAATACATGTATATTTTTTATCTCAGTGAGTTTAGGCAAGTTCATCTTGCATTGAAAGTAGAATAATTGACTTCAAAAAGTCAAAAGATGATCATAAGCAAGTGTCAAAAGACAGTATTACAACTATTTATCTTATTTTAACTGGTGCTTGAATACATACACTTCTCTGGAGTTTCATAAAGTAATCTACTTACAACATAAATGATCACACCAATGAATATTGCAATTGAAATCACATTTCACACTTCTACCCCAGTTGACTCATGAAGTGCAATTTCAGTTTAATACAACACAGATTTTCCATCAATTTCATCTTGAATAACAATGGGTTCAGATTAACACTGTTCTTTGCTGCTACATTTACATCTACAAAGTAAACAAAGCTATTAAAGATCAAACTTGATCTCATTATCTGTTGAGAACCATAAGGGCATTATCCCTTATGCCTTTTTGGCTTTAAACAGATCTTATGTTCTAGCTCACTTCCCTACAGCAAGCTTTCTTATCCCTACATCAAAAGACCCATTTGATGGAGACAGAGAAAAATTCAGTGTGGTCACGAAAGAGCAATTGGAAATGGTATCTTGATAATACTGTCCTTTCATAAAGTGAATATCCCAGCATGCAACTAGATGTTACAATATGATTTCAAATTGAAAATTGCTCAAACAACAGTATATAAACAACAATATGCAAACAAAATACACTTATGGTACAGTTTCTACACCATTCTTTAAACTCACCATTGCAGTATTGCACAGAGTATTAGCACATTTTATATATTAAAAACAAAACATTCAGAGAAAAATATCAATTGAAATTGATCAGATTTTGCCCTTAAAAAACACAAATTAAAGCAATCAAAAATAAATTAAAAATTACACTTTTAAGTCAAATATCACACGAAAAAGAGACTTGGTATTTGCTAATGGAAAAATAGATACCAATAACTTAAAGCAAACAACATGAAAAATAAAAGCAGAGAACGGCACAAAATTCTGGTTCAAAAGTCGATCTGATAGAAGCGGGAAGAAATCTAACCTCTCTAAACTGTAGTATGAAGTTTGCGGTCTTGATATTCGCTACTCCTTCATCATAATTGGTTACCATCCTCCTGTAGAAATGAAAATATACAAAGTGTAAGAACTCTCAGTTAATAAATTGGACTAAGTTAAACCTGGTATAACTCTATTCTGAACAAATTCATTCATTCGTTTTCATTTCCAATTAAAAATCAAAAGCAGAAAGTGCATATCACAGTATGATAACATATAAAAAGATATGAATATAACAACACATTAAATACAATACATAAGTCTATTCAATTCAATTCAATTCAATTCTTTTTATTCATCCAAATTCACAGTAATGCATGGAAATTTGTTTTAGTCACACATTGTAAAAAATATGTAAGATATATATGAAAAACTATATCGTTGTGTTTGTAATCACAGAAGAACCATCAAAATAAAAGATGGACAACATAGCAGTACTCTTATTATTACACATCGAAAATGATGAAAAGGATAGAACATCAGTGTGAAGGAAGGAAGGAAAACCAGACCAAACCGATACTTGGGGCCCTCATGCTTCTCTTATTATTACACAACGAAAATGATGAAAAGGATAGAACATCAGTGTGAAGGAAGGAAGGAAAACCAGACCAAACCGATACTTGGGCACTCATGCTTCTCACTCCATTTGGTTGTACAAACGAGTATGGAACATATGAGCCCACATATTGGCTTGGCCGACATTTCACTGAGCGCATTCTCCTTCCTGACCGTAATAATTCATATAAGTAATTTAGATTGTGATTCTTATTTGCAATAATCTGTTTAGCTGTTTGGAGGATTCGTGCCTTGCATTCTTCTGCCAAGTTTCGTCTTTTTCCTGTTATTTTACTCGCCCTCTTGACTACACTTTCCATTTTCCTAAAGTCGTCCTTCCTACATGCCCCAAACCAAACAACACAATTAAAAAGAAAAATACTTGCGACAATAGATTTGTAGAAAAGACTTAAGATAGGTCTATCAACATGTAGAGAGCTCAGTTTTCTAAGATAGAACATTCTCGTTTGAGCCCTCGCCACAATGGACGTACACTCATCATGCCAGGTAAGTTTATTATTGATAATCGATCGTTGTGCCAGATATTTGTATTTTGGCACAATTTCAATGTTTTCATCTTTGATCTTTACTGATTCGTGTTGTTGTGTAGCAACTCTAACTGGTAATTCTGTACAAAATCATTTAACTCATGACTAAAATTGATTTCCTTTTGTCTAGATTTGTGTTAGTTCATATAGTAAGTAAATTGTGGTTATATTTACAGGATTGAAAAGGTTAACACATGGTGGTCCATAAAACCTTGCTCTAAACCACAGTGTTTTTTATGATGACTCAAAGTGTAATATACTTCACATTTCTGTATCTTATTACACAGAGCTAAGTGAATACGCATAGGACCTTTTGTTGCATCCAGTTGCCATTCATTGCATGTAAAAAACCTGTGACTTTTTTGGCAGCGGCGGCGGTTTACCACACCATTGAATCTGAACGAGCCTTGAGTGAGTGGACAAAGTCTATCCACTTATTTGGGTCTTTTAGCATGGACTAGATAAGTACCAGCCAAAATGTTTATGAAGTCAAGCACGATCCAGGTACATAAGTTTTGATTTTTAAAGCAAAGCTACCACAAAAAGATGATCCCCTTTGCTTGAAATATCACTGAGAAGAAGATGACATCAACTTATTTGAATGGGAGATCAATTAGCGTTACTTAACTTGCCTGAAAAGCGCTCAAGACATTTTGGCCTTTACAATTCAAAGCCTAAAAGGCCAGAAGCAAGACAGGCGACGACCCTAAAATCGGGTTAATCAACTGAAAACTGACACCACCGTAAAATGGAAATGGTTATCTTTACTAAATAACATCTATCCACTGTACTGGCGCTGTGAGTAATTAAGCTCTGAAAATATCCAAATTAGCACTGGTAAACTGAAAAAGAGCTCTGAAAATATATCAATAAAAGACTTTAATATCAAAGAGAAAAATCAAACTTATACCGCATCAAATTCTAAAAGAGTTCCCGTGAACATAACAATTGAATGAAATTTGTAAACAACAGGCATGATGTTTCTAAGCTTTGTATTAATTTAATTCAGGATGTAATTAAATGTTGTTAGACAAAGAATTCTGTAAATGAATAAAACAGAACAATTACAGAATTTTCAAACAAGTCAATAAGCCCTTTATAATACTCATGCATACAAAAAATAAAGATCATCATGCAGGGCCTAAACTAGTTTGATGGTTTGTTTTAAAAGAGGACCAGATTGAAACTTGTATGGCTTGTATCAATAGGCCCCCTTGTTTGAGCTTTATCAATTTGGGGGAATAAAGCAGGCCTTGAATGGAGACGAAATGCCCTGGCCGATGTGTACAGGACCACTGTTAGTGTTGAGCCGTGCCCTACCAATAAACAAAAGAATGAATGAAATTACCAAAGTACCTGTTCTCTCTCCTGATCCCCGAGAGTCCAGCTCTAGTCTATATCCTCCATATCAGTGTAGCCAATGTCCTCTCCATCTCGACTCCTCTTATCAACGCAAGATGTTTGCAGAGGGGCAGGAGGTTGGGAGGAGGCAGAGAAGCGGTTGTCATGGTGAGGGAACTGTTTGCCTGGCCTCTCCACTCCTGCCGCATCAGACGGGTCTCTCTCACTGACCTCCATCTCACTGCTGCAGGTGGATGACCTGCAACAATCATAAACATTGATAACAATCATGATCAAATGGGCAAAGAGGTTTATAAAATTGATAAATATTATTAATATGATCAATGCTGTTACATATAAGAATTCATAAATTCAATATTCCTTGATGCAGATTGGCCTTGTGCTTATCCAGTTGTCTAATAAAGTCTACTACTATTACTACTAATACCACCACCATCTCTACCACTAGTACTACTACTACCACCGCATTACCATTGGATAAGTATCTTCATTAATTAAAAAAACTAACACCACCTGCAACAAATTAAAAACCATACAAAAAGAAAATGTATAGTTGTACATTGTCATATTGAATCTCAATCAATCACTCAATCAGGCTGCATTTTCATCAACACAGTAAAATATAAGGCCTTAAAAGCTTCTTATAATTTATCAAGTAATACACTTTCCTTCTATGTCTGACTCTCTATAAACATAAGTAATGGGCATTCATCATGACATGGTAATATATTACCATTTTCCTGCTAGCCTGGTATAAATATAAGTTTGTCCTGCAACTGAGGCTTTTAGAGGAAGGAAAGAAGGGATGTTCATTGAATACACAGGAGGAAATCGAAAATTGAACAATAATGGTTCCTGAAACCTCCAAGTGTGTTCCTGTTTACGGATGCCCAGGCCAAAGATCACTCTATAATTCACATGTACTTAGGACTCATAAAATCACAAATGTACCATTATAGGCTTTACATGTAATCCTATGGAATTACGGTACCGTGGGATTACCAACCATGTGATAGGTACATGTACATTTGCAGAGGCAGATCCAGTATTGTAAAATCAAGGGGGGGGGGAGGGGGGTGGACAAAGATCACTCTCATTAAAGTCAAATACCAGTAATGTATTGCTTGAAGGCTTTACATAATAATCCTGAGGAAATATCACCATGAACCATGTGATGAATACAATATCAGGACACAAATCTAGTCTTGTCAAAACAAAGGGGGTAGGGGGGAGGGGGATCACTCTTTGTTTGAGATAAACTGGTGTTCATAATGTATGATTGCAGACTTTACATTTAATCCTGAGGAAATATCACATGAACCATTTGTGAATACTATACTAATTAAGAGGGGGAGGATGCGAAAACATTTGGGGAAGAAAACAAATAGTTTGAAAAAGTGTGTGATCCCTTTATAGGTAGTGAGTTAGTGAGCAATCCTGTAATTATTTTAAAAGGGAGACGCAGCTGATTCTTGCTACTTCTATCCACCCATGACAATAAGCATTTCTCAAAATGAAATACAGTCCACTTAAACCTCTCTAGATTTCTATTCAAACATGATTGTTTTAGTACAAAGACTGTTTTTGTTTCTTCAAAATAGTTAGAGAACTATAAGTGGACATCCAGGATGATCATAAAGATCAGGGCATTGTACGGTACACATGAAACCATCAATACACGCGTTTCAATGGGATGTCGTCAAACTTTTATGGTTTCATGAAACTATGCCTTGTTTTCTTTCATTGAAAATGACTGATCTATATACAGACATTGTATTTGATCATAACAGGCTTTTTATGTTCTCTATGGGCTAAACAGGAACTTTTGAGGTCAACACACCATTTGCTGTTTGCCACTACCAGCAAATTCCCTTTACGCTAACCACTAAGTATATTAATAAATAATAAATGCTGAATAAAGAGATATAAGGAAGGGTAGCAAGTAGAACACAGAGTATCTTACAACAAATACGCCCATTCAAATTCATATCAATATACAGTTAACTCTGCATAAGTCAAATCTGTTGGGACCACAAAAAATAGTTTGAGTTATGCAAACTTTTTTATTTTAATAGTTTGGTCAAAAATATTGATTCAACTTGGCTTCTTAAACTTCCACTTATGCAAAGTTAACTGTACATAAAATGGTTTTGCAATAATCACTCATTATCCATATATTCATGTATTAGACTATGCTGAACTGTGTAGAATGCATGCAGAGAAATATCTGTTGACTTATCTTTTAAATGTAGACAGGACCACATATACCAATCAATAGCACTGAGCAAATAGCAAAACTTCCTTAAGAGAACACTGTATTAAGGACCATCAATACTACTGGGCCAGAGGGGATTAGGCCACACAGCGAGGTCACTCACAGGTGGCTATCTCATTAACTCAGCTCTCAACTAACATAAGAAAAAGAGGAACATGGGGGACCAACAGGCACCGATTGGGGAAGTTTTCTATATAGAGGGAGCAAGTAGCTACAAGTAGGACAGTGGGGCTTCAACAAACTCATTCAAATACAAGTAATTCTGTCAGTCCCTCTTCATTTCATAACCCTGATATAACCAAGTTTAATTATAAAAAAGTAATTTCCTTGCTCTATAGCATGCTGATATACATGTAACGTCATTTCTATGCATACAAATGCATTAATCAGAGTATCCAGGGCCCCATTTCACAAAACTTTTGATCAGTGACAAATGACAGTCTTTGTTATAAGCTACTGAAATACTTGATTTTGATTGGTTATCAGCAGATTTGTCACTGATTTTTGTCATTTGTCATTGAAAAAAGGCTTTGTGAAACGGGTCCCTGGAGGTAATTTTCCCACATATTGCACCATACAATGAAACTCACTTGTCATCCATCTCCTCTGGTTCATCCCCTGTCTCCTGCACACTCTTATGCTCCTGCTGAGGCTCCCTCTGGGGCTCCACCTCCGGCTCCTCCTCCTCCGGCTCCGGGTCTGCAGGAGCTTGCCAGATGTACGGGGTGTAGGGCTGACGACGGCGGTAGAAGAGCAGGTAGGCTGAACGCGTCACCACGTTCTTCTCAGAGACAGTGGTCACATGATTGTCGTCAAACAGTCTCCAGTCTAAAGAAGGGGACAACGGTTAAGATTAAATAAGAGATGAATTTCTGCACGGAGTAGTGATTCTACATCTCTCCCTATTCTTCAGTATATCTGGTATATAGTCAGACCTGTATACCAAGACCATTCTAGGGAAACAAGGAAAAGGGTCTTTATAGACAAGTAGTTTGATATACAGGTTCTTGTAGTATAAGTTTTAAGAAATAGCTATGTTTAAGAGCCACAAAAAATCTAGTCTCTATTGGTGGTCTTTCTATACAGGTGGTCACTAATGCAGGTTTCACTGTACTATCACGTTACTGTTAAAGCTGATATTTTCGCGAATAACTACCAGGAGAATTAATGAATGGGTATGAAGTATTCATAGAGCGAGAAGGCTGATTGATTTTAAGACGGTGGTACGGTGCCAGTATAATGCATGGTTATTAAAATACCAAGTACGTATTCCAATTGTTGACATAGACAAGGATTACAAATGAGTAAGAGACTTTTGACAAATGAGAACCTGCCCACTTGCTGTCGCGAAAAGTGGAATCACCGAGTGAATGTTGCAAGCAGTGCAAATGCAATCACTGCTTCACAATAATACGTGCGCACTGTGTATAGAATGCTTAGTGATTGTGGGCGCGCATGTATGTACGTAGAAGTGGCAGTAGCCAGGCGAATGATAAATAATTAAAATAACCAATATACCATTGTACTACCACATAAATACGTGTGAAATCAATTCTTGCAAGCATTTTTTGACGTAACAACCCTACTCACCATGCTCATTCTTACTCCAGTCTGCAGTAGAAGCCAGTCTACCGAAGGACGTATAGTGACCTCCCAGAATACCCCCATGATGGTTGATGACCCCATAGAGGTCATAGATCAAAGGTGTGCCGTGGGAACCATGGCAGTAGGGAGACAGATCCAAGCCTCTGGTTATTTGGAAGAAAAAAGAAAAAAAAGTTGTGAACGAAATCTTAGCTTGCTTTTGTAAGAACACAACATGCTTTTGTAAGAACACAACATTATTTTGTTTTCTATGCAATGCAGGTGCTCTTTAATCTTCTGTTGGTACAAAACATGTAAGATGTCCAAATGATCGTGGGAATATCTGTAATTTGACGTGTTTCTCATGCTTTAAAGACTCGTACATATCACCTGTTCTCACTGCTAAAATACACATTGATGCCTTTGAGAAGCTGTAAACTCTGCAGAGTGTAGGTTATTGACCTATCTTCACTTGACATACTAAATTCTTTTTAAATTCATACTTAACTGGCTATTCGACCATCTTTTTCCAAAACAGAATGTTAACCAAAGAAGAACCGTTTAAGCTAAACGGTAAGGGTTATCACAGAATGTTACCAAAGAAGAACGGTTTATTAAAGCTGCATGAGCTAGGGTACCTACCTGACGGGGTATTCAACCATTTTGTTGATCTTGTCCCTCCACAGCATGTTACCAAAGGAGAACCGTTTCAGCTGGATGATGAGAGTAGAGGGCAGTCGCCATAGTAACATCTGTTTGGTTGCTTCTCTGTGTTGCTTGCACTTGGGACAATACCTGCGATGAAGTGAAACTAGCTTTGAACACCACATTCATATATCATGTTTAATGCACGAGGTGATTAATGTTTGCTTGTTGTTCAAGGTCAGGAAGATACAGATGCACCTTACGCTCTCTTGAAATAAAAGCAGCAGAAAAGAAAATGATTCAAGAGTAGGGCCCAGAATGTTCCAAAGAGAACATGCAGGAGTCTTTGTTGCTGACAGTTACTTTTCCCCACAAATAATTCATAGCTTCCGAGACATGAAAAACAATCTTCATAACTCCATAAGGCCATTAAACGATAGATATAAGGGGAAAACTCCTACATTGACAATAATGAACCACTTTCCCGCAAGAGAAAATTCTTAACCAACTGCACAGCGATTGGTCCTTTTTCAGATGAAGAAAATATTGCTGCCAACCATCAGGACATTCATACTGTCAGGGGATACAATAAAGTAACTACATGTACTGGGGAGTGTTTCACAAAGACTAAGATCGACTCTAAAGTTGAAATAACCTATGGCAGGCTTTTCATGCCACTAGTTCCTCGAACCATTCCTGGCATTGGTTTCTCACGGGACATATAAATAGTGGTCACAAATCTACAAAATTTACCTTTTTTGATAGTTCATTATTGAAGGAAAAAATATCATATAAAGATCATAATTGAGAGACCAATGGTGAGAGCAACCAGTGGCATGAACAGCCTGCCATAGTTAAGTCCAACTTAAAGTTGATCTTAGTTTTTGTGAAACACCCCCAGGATGGATGATCTTTCTGCATATGGAAGGAATTACTGATTTAACACATGCAGTGGTCCTTTCACATTTGGAGTTTGTTCTCACCATGCTTCCCCAGGAGCAAGCTTCTCTGGCTCCGTGAACAGTTTGAGACACTGGTCCAAGGTGATTTCAGTCTCTTCGTATGACTTCCCACACACTGATTCGTCTTCTGCATAGTCCTAGATTGCAAGAAACAAGGGGGAGATATTGTTTTCGTTTTCAAGCGGCATGTCCTCTACAAGGATGGTTAAGTAGTAAAAGCCAAGCAGGGCAAAAAAACATTGAAATCCATCTAGGCTGAAAGCCTGCCCTACTTGAAGGTCAACATTATTTCATACAATAAATCTTGAAGAGCTACTAAAGCGATTAACCCACTTATACTTTTTTTTAAAGCTAAAAGTGTTTTTTGAGAAAGATAACCATTGAAATAAAACAAACACTATTTTCCCCAAAATGAAAATTCTCAAGAATTACATCAAGATATAAAACAAAAAAGCAACATCATCTTTTAATGATCAGTTTGCTTGAAATTTCCAATACGTTTTTCCAACAGCTTAGAATAAATGCATAAAGTCACAAAAGAAAACTTTAAAACTGTAAATGATTTTTGTTTAATATTCAAGGATGTGAAAAGTTGTATTATATACAATGATATGTTTGTTACCTATTTCTTATGTAATTTGAGTTTGGTATAAACAGTGTATCTGATGAGGCAAGCCTGACATACAGTACAATAGTACTTAAACAAATGATACAGGTTGATGAATCGTGAATAAACTCACAAGTGTCCTTGACTCCACCAAGACGTTGTTCTCTTGTTTGGGATCATTCCTCCAATCCATGGCTACACTGATGATACCAGACAGATCAAGAGGGACATCACCTATAACAGATAAACACAATCCAATACTTATACTCTTCTACCATTATAGCCTCATTCACGTATGTAGCAGTAAACTGTGGCGGGGTTGTTTTTTATGATGAGGTAAAGTGTAATATGCTTTATATTTCCTATCTTATAATTCCGAACTAAGTAAATATGCATCAGACTTTTGTTGTGCACAGTTCATTTACACATAATATATTTCCACGTCAGATCTGAACTCAAAATCTAAGGCTACTAATATCATATCTTGAGGAATACAGGAAAATTTGCTGTAAAACTGACCATCTAAATATTTGGGCAAGCTAAGATTTTTGATTTAAAATTTATCTGCACTCTTACACACATGTGTATAAATCAAAAAAATAATCTGAAAGGCACTATGTACCAATGGCACTCATACAATACCTACTTATAAAGAACACTATGAATAAACTCTCTTTTCTGCAAGATAATTTTGCCTATCAGGCTTCTTTCTATGCTACTATTTTATGTTAAAAACAAGGTATCGATATAACAAAATAATTTCCCTGGCCTCAAGGAGTTTGTTACATATCTAGATTTAACAAAATAAAGTATCAGGAATGCACTGAACACAGGTCTTAGCCTAATAAGAAACTTCACTCATCTTGGTATGCTGGAAGTTGCATATATTCAGCCCACTGACCCTATTTTGTGCCGACAGAAAGATTTTGTGAGGACTTTCATGTTATTCCAGCTAGCGTTGCTACAGCCCGTATTCATGAAATAGCTGGAATTACGTCTACTTTCCAGCAACCGATCACAGCCGTTATTTTTTTCATGTGCTTTGTTCCTTTAGCTTCTGCTTATATTGTGTGATTTTCTGTCCATTCGTATGATATACTCTGAAGAGTGCAAGACAAAAGCTTTAGTATGTCTTTATTAGTTGATATTCATTGATATCTAGATTTTCTACTCTTTAAAGTGACTCGGTAACATTGTTGAAGGTTGATGAAAAAAATTGCTTAATTTTTGTATAAAATGTTACTTACTATATTCCTTCTACTATACTAACCCTCTGACATGCAAAAAATCCTGAACAAATTCTCAAACCACAAAGATATCTATGGTTTTCTTTGAAGGCGTCGATGTGAGGCACCCTCTAACAGTGATTAACAGTAAATTCTCCCAACCATTTTTGAATTTTCCCAACCGTTTTTCCATGAGAAAAATACATAAAACAGGCTATAAAAATCTGTCAGCACTGTCTGGAATGGAATGTAGAGCCATTTTATCGCTTTGTGACGATTTACATCCACCTAAAATGTAATTAAATTGTCCTTGTCTTGATGCTGAACAGGCTTTGACAAGTAGCAGAATAGAAGTAGAATAATATAGTTGGGAGAATTAAGGAATCGATCAGATCAGTTTTTCCCAATTTGTACCATGAATAATGATTTGTTTTCACTCAAATTTTCAGATTATCTTTAATTGTACATCTAGCATTGAAGTCACTACCTTAGCACCACTATCTCTCATCTGAACAATGTTACAAAGTCCCTTTAAAGCCCATCTGCACTAGTTTGGTCAGGGGGATTAGACGTCCCTGCAAGGTCACTGACAGGTGGTTATCTCAGCAAATCAGCTCTCAATTAACAAAGGTGATCATGGGGGACCAACAGGCACCAATTAGGCATTTTTTGCTATGTAGAGGGCGCAAGTAGCTATAAGTAGTACAGTGGGGCTTTAAAGAAACCCACCTTTATCTGTGAGCCGTTCCTTGCTGGGGATACTGTTGCCTATGTGATTGACAGGCTTGACGAAGAACAGAGGCATCTTTCTCTCCTGGGTCTGAGGTTGCCCTACCACCGTAGCTGATTCAAACAATAATACAAGAAACATCAAATGTTATGATCTAATAGAACATTACCATTGCAATTAAAGTGGTTGAAAGTATAAGACACAATCTTTGTTTTCAATCGGTTTGTTTATTTAAGGCACATATGTTCAAGAAATTCTTGCTGTTCTCCTAAAATTTACAGCAATGACACTTGTATCCTGAAGAAAATGGGGTATGTATTCGATCTTTATCTGATCAAAGGGGAATTTTTATAGTTGAAACATTATTTTTTTATAGCACAGCCTTCCAGGCCGTCCAGACATTGAGAAGCCCTACTCTACACAGAACTATCATTTCAACAAATGAACTATCAACTTTCAGAAAGGTCAATAGGTTTCTTCCTACCTGTTGCAGCTCCTTCCATGTCTGACGAATTTCCTCTGGACTCTGCTCCAGAGTCTCCTCCCCCTCCTCCTCCTTCTCCTTTCCTCAAAGCCTCATCTTTATCAGACGTTCCCTCCATCATCCCATCTCCCATTTCCTCCGACTGAATGGGGTCTTCCAAACCAATGTCCTCCATTCTCTCCTTCCCATCCTGTCCATCCCCCATCTCTTCATCATCCATCGTTGTCTCTGTGGTAGGAATCCTTGATGCATCTGCTGGAGAGGTAGTGGTAGTGGAGGGTGCAACTCCATCGGACTGAGGTTGAGAATCGGTTGAGGTAGAGGGGTGTTCGCTCTCATGAGAGGAATTACCAGGGCTGCTTACTGTGCCCGGTGGCTTCAAGGGTGGTACAAACACATTGGTAGAATACCTGCAAGACAGTATGTAAAGACAGAAGCATGTGTGTAATTAACTACCTGGTTTACACTACCGATAATGATAATAGTGGAAAATAACTATCTAACTAATGATACACATTTTTTTTCTGATGATGACGATTATGACAATTTTATTTACACTGCTACTTATAATTTCAAATTAAAACATCAATGACACAAACAATAAAATTGTAATAACAATAACAAGTCATAAGAAAGACTACAAGAATTGAATGAAAACAACACTGATGATCATGGCAGGAACTACAAAATGCCATTTTCACAATCCAAGGGTGAAATAACGGGTTTACATTAAAATATTACAGAAATGTCATGGAATACAAACAAATCGATTATAACACATAAGGAAAACACATCTGATTTGTGATAGTCCCATACCTTGCGTAACACTCCATAAGCTGGCAAAGCCTGGCATATGTGGCATGAGATTTGGGCAGACTGATGATGAAAGGACATCCAACAGGTTCTGGGAAACGACGACACGTGGGTCTATGCGTGTTCCAATTGCTCTTCTGACAAGCTCTGAGGAATTCAAGCACATGAATAATTAACCAAAAATCTTCTTTGAGCTACGATGTATATTCACGAAAGAAGACTACATCAAATATGGCATAATTTAGTCAAATGATTTATGTGAGGCAATGTACTGACCTCATTATTACTTACTACTGTCATTTCATAATGAAATAAATCAACAAAGTTATAAACTAAGTTATCAAATGAAAATAAGAAATGTATTTCATGTTGAGACATTAACTCTATGTTCATTTAGTAACGTGATGATGGTAATTTATACAAGAAGAAGAGTCTTCTGATAGCCCAGATTAATACCTCTGCTATGTGAAGCAAATGGATACATGGTAGGACATTTTGCACTAACAATCCCTGCTGGAAAAGGGTAATTATTTCTGAATTGCAAAGGGTCATTATTCTATATATCGATGAAGTACAGAAAAGGGAACTAGATGGAATTTTGACTGCACGCAGTCGAAAATGATGCCTCCGCCATAGAGCAATTTAAACAAGTTTGGAGTTTAAATCTCCAGTGGTTCTTGAGATATCATGATAACAATCTCAATGTATGGAATTTCATAAGTTGACCTCTGTGACCCTTGACCTTTGACCTACATGCTCCAAAATCTAATCAGATTGTCTTCCTATGGTGATACACACTATCATTAAGTTTGAAGTTTAAATCTCCAGTGGTTCTTGAGATATTATGATAACAATCTCAATGTATGGAATTTCATAAGTTGACCTCTGTGACCCTTGACCTTTGACCTATGTGCTCCAAAATCTAATCAGATCGTCTTCCTATGGTGATACATACTATCCTTAAGTTTGAAGTTTTTACATCTCCAGTGGTTCTTGAGATATCATGATAACAATCTCAATGTATGGAATTTCATAAGTTGACCTCTATGACCCTTGACCTTTGACCTACGTGCTCCAAAATGTAATCAGATTGTTTTCCTATAGTGATACACACTATCACTAAGTTTGAAGTTTAAATCTCCAGTGGTTCTTGAGATATCATGATAACAATCTCAATGTATGGAATTTCATAAGTTGACCTGTGACCCTTGACCTTTGACATACGTGCTCCAAAATCTAATCAGATCGTCTTCCTATGGTGATACATACTATCCTTAAGTTTGAATTATAAATCTCAAATGGTTCTTGAGATATCGCGCTAACAAACTCAATACAAGGAATTTCATAAGTTGACCTCTGTGACCTGTGACCTTTGACCTACGTACTCCAAAATCTAATCAGATCGTCTTCCTATGGTGATAAATACTATTCCCGAGTCTTAAGTTTAAATCTTAAATGGTTCTTGAGATATTGTGATAACGGTCAAACGGGACGGACAACCCGAAAACATGATGCCTCCGGCACCACCTTCGGTGGCGGAGGCATAAAAATGATAATGATTAGTATCATTCCATCACAAATAAACATCTATTGTTAAATGAATTAAAATTCATTCTAATTCAATCTAATCCAATCTTACTGATCGCAGTATGCTACCCGGTAACACTTGGTGCATCTCTTGAGGCTTCTGCCTTTCTCACAGCTTTTCTTACAGTGGGAACAGTGGAGAAGGGCAGGCGGCATCAACATACGCTGTGGAGGGAGATCATAACATTCAATCAATCACTGTGTTCTAATCATCAGGGAGTATTTGACAAATCAATTGGAGTGAAATTGGAAATCAAAGGAAATCATAACATGAATGCACAACACAAAGCTAGTAGAAATCAAAGTCTGCTGCTGAAGGATTTGTTTCATTCAGTGAGCATTGGCTATATTCTTAAACTCAATCACTTGTTATTCCATGAAAGTGATAAATAGAACAAGCAGAAGTAAACTTTAGAGATACATGTCTTCTATCAAAAAATTGAAAAGAGCATCTACTTTTAATAGATCATAATATTGTACAGGTATCACAGAAGTCTAGCCATATTCCGACAATCAATCATTTCATGTTACAAGTGACAAATAGAAAAATTGATTAGAACTATGATTGATAAACATCAATCAAGACAATTTTGAGGGCCATAACTATGGATGTCTGAATTCCATCACTTTCATCTAGTACATTCAGCAAAAGGTAATAACACTTGAGTAACAAGTATGTAAAGGATAATATACCTGAATAACAGACAGCTCTACAACACTCTCTCCTGCCATGGCTGGCGACAAGACTTCATGCCTAGAGGGAAAAAAGAATTATGCAAAGGTGTAATCTCTGTGAAAGCCATTGATTGATTGATTAATTGAATGATAGATATTGTACATAAGCAATAGGAATACCTACACCTTGTCCAATTAGAGGGACTGGGTGATACTGGATAAAAGGCCGGAACGAAAGTGATTGGGCTTAGACATGATGTCAAGTACAAGATGGCCCAATTCTAAAACTGTTGTTTTACTATGTCCCCTGTTCTTCATCCTAAAAACATCATCCATAGTTTCCCTCTACATACCAGCAACAAAAAGGAATGAACAAACTCTATGATTTGCTATTCAATACAAATCTATTTGCAAGGTGTTTATATATAGGGTGAAAAGGGAGCAAGCATGGCATAAACAAAAACAAAGCAAAATGTTGAATTTGACAGTGGCAACTGCAGCAGCTTAAAACATAATATATCTAACTGCAATCTATAGATAAGACATAGCGTTAACAGTCATCCCGTTTTCCAATGCATCTTTAAAGATTAAACACTTCACTACTTACACAAAGATGATGTCATTGAAAGACATGCCCGACAGTGTGCTCCTTCGGGAAAAGACCTTATGGATGCAGCTCCGATGGACCTCAAAGACCCTCAAATTGGCAGCATTGACCCCCGCCATCTGACCCACCTGGACAGTCAGATCGTGGACCGTAGCGTCCGAGCCGAGAGAGAGCACGTACTTGACCGGTCGTTGATTGCAATCCCGGGAGAAGAAGTAGACGGGGAAGTGACGCTTCTTCTTCGGGAGTGGCATGGACAGGTGCATGAAGGGGTCAAAGGTTATTGAAACCTGGGGAAAGAAAAGAATCGTCGTGGAAAAATAGAAATTGGACATGATGAAATAATATTTTGAAAACCATTCTCTGATACCAAGGATAATCATTTCAATAGAATTGCATGTGATCATGTTCCAAGAGGAAGATTGCTTTTACAGGCAACCCCCTGGCCATCTGTGTCTTAAATTTGAAGAGGAACAGGCTGGAAAGTGGGTTTGAAGCACCCTTGTATATCACATTAGATAAATTACATTATTACAGACTTTGAGATCAACTTGTATATGACTGAAACTTTCTTACTGGTAAGTGGTCACAAGATAAGGGTCTTGATTCTAGGACACCTACTCCCTTACCTATGACAACTCTTACCCGAAGTCGATTATTAACCCCCATAACCCCTTCCCCCTTGAAAAAAGGGGTAATCACTTTAGGTGGGAAGTTTCCTTAAGGGGGTAGTTTTCTAGAAGGTGAAATCATCTGGGGATAATTGACCTTAAATAGTTTACGTGTCCATGGAGTACTTGTACTTGTTTTTTCTTTTAGGAGGGGGGGGGGGGGGAGGGTAATGTTGATATGTGAAGCAAAATTTCCTTCCACTTACCTTGTTACATCCTGGGCAGACAAGTTTGGACTTGTATTGTCCTTGAAACAAGTCAACAATGAAGGAATCATTTCTTCTCCTGTGCGTCTTCCATGCCTCATCTGCAACGACCTAGTGAATGACAAAAATGAACCAAGTACAGTTAAAGCCTGTATAGAAAGACCACTCAAGGGAGAAAATGGCCACCATCAACAAGTTGTCTTGTGGTCTGGCCTGCTATGGACCATGGACCTTAGATCTCACTCCTTTTTTTTATCCTCCCAAAATATAAAATATATATAACGGAATGTATAAATGTCAACAACAACAAAATGGCAAAGAGCATGAACCACAATTTCATCATACAAAATTAATAAATAGTTACAGGTGTAAATATTCTTATTTAATGAATGTGCCGTATCACCCCCCCCCCCCCCTCAAAAAAAAAAAAAAAAAAAAAAATCTTAAAATGTGTTTTTTATAAACATGTTGTCTTTTTACACACTGTACATGTTTAAATGGATTCATTAAGTCTTCCATAACCACTTCAAAAATTTAATACCAATAAATACTATTTTCAGATACCGAATTGAATCCATTCTATCTATCTAAGTATCTTCTCTCGGTTCAGAGGTTGATTGCAACATCTCTCCATTTCACTCTATCTTCTGCCATTCTGGTGCAAAAAACGCTTTCTATTCATGGGCAGACAAGATTACAATTACTTGTTAAACTATCTAAGTCAAATTAATATACGTACCTCATCGTGCCTTCCATCAGAATCAATTGTTTGAGTGTATGGCTTTTTACGGATTCTGTTGATGTCCTGTATACAACAAAAAAAGGATCACCATTATAAGATAACATACAACAGTATTTCTATCTCTTACTTAAGCAGAGTCAATAAGAAGTTGATGTGATTACTGGATCATATATCATATATTAAATCTTCTTGCCAAAATTGTTAGCTTTTATTGCATTTCAACAAAAAAATCCATTCCATTATTGAGTACATATTTGTTTGTTTTACTAGACTTTACGGATTGCATTATTTGCAATAAAGGAGCACTTTCTGATTTAAAACTAAAAACAAATGCAAGTGACAGTTCTAAATATTATCATCAAGTTCATTATATGTATGTGTGTAGTTTCTATAGAATAACCTCAATGATTTTTCAACCCATTTTGGATCCTCGTTTTTTTAGTACATTAATGTTGCACCAAGGGTCCCTCCTGTGATGAAAGCTGATTCACTACATACTAACCTCATGAAGTCCATCCAAGAGAAAAGCCATGAATTCCTGTGCATCATGCTGAGCAAACCCCATGAACTGACTGGCCTTGGCTGATATAATGGACTGGGAAACAAGTCACAAAGTATAAAGTACTTGTCAATATTCATCTGCTTAATAAAAGACAGTGGCACTGATATGAATGGCTTATACAGTTCAAAGAGTAAATTAAATTTGAATACCCCAAGCTGCAACCCCCGAGAAGTGAACTTGTAGGATACAAGGCAATAAGTCAATTTGACAATAAGTTGAGAACTTGTTGAGCTCATTTCAATTATCATTATCTTTGTTCTTAACTATTTTTGTTGCTGACATCTGATCATAAATCTTTACTTATATATATATATATATATTTCTCAATGAAAATAACCCTTTCCATGGTCCAATGATTCTGCACTTCTCTTGTTTGATATTTCATCCATGATCTACATACTCAAGCAGTCAAAAAAAAAAAAATAAACTGTTGGTTGATAATTCAAATTAATAATAAAACCTGGTGATACATTTTCTGTAATAAATTGACACCAAACTATGCCTGATTAATGGGATTTACAACCAAATATAAACATTAGGACCCCGTTGGAAAAAACTTAACATTGATGGTAACTTTGCCACCAATGGTAACTACTATGGACACCTTGATTTTGATTGGCTGTTGAGCCATGTTACCATGGTACATTGTAGTTGCAATTGATGGCAAAGTCACCATCAATGTTAAGTTTTATGCAATGGGCCCAGATTTAGCTTTAGAGATTGATGGACTCTCTACAAAAAATCAGGTAAGGTTTGCTTGTTTTGTCTACCGTATATAATTGTAGGTACGAGTTGTAGCACAATGGATGACTTTGAAAACTTGTTTGTACCTTGAGTTTTGAGGGAGCGATGGATTTATGTTGACCTCCCCATAGCCTCCTCATCAAGACAGCAAAGGAGAGAACCAGGTGACCTCCACTACCCAGGGGATTGTCCCGATTGATCTCATTCTTGAAGTCGGCTCCTATTCAATAGTAAAACAACAATAAATTCATTACATTATGATGTCAAAGCACGAGAGGTAGTGTATATTTCAGATACCATATTAAGATACAACTAACATAGTGGACACATAACTTCTCTAATTCTCTTGCAACTGCTAAAATAAACTGCTCTCTTAAAATTTCTTTTTCTCCACATGCAACCTTCTGTACTTCTAAAGAGCATGATAGGAGATGGATAGTTGGTGTCCCTTTTCTACATGTTAATGTGTTTCTGAATAATGTAAGACCAGAAACGAATGATATTTGTATGTGATCCAAATTAACGAAAAATTCATATCACCTAATAATTGAATCCTAAAAGTGGTTTATGCCATTTGCAGAAATATGACTGCCTTGCCAAATAACAATCCTCAGGCTGCAGGGACTCTGCATTATTACACTGCAGCTCATGTGACTAACATGGATTGACTAGGATACAAACATTTCATATGGCATCATGGCTTGGGAATGCCGACTACAGGAATGTGATTAAATCAATCATAAATCTGGCATAGTATGTTTAAGCCCCCTTATAAAAATACTTGCTAGAATTTGGTTTAAAAAAGGTTAGAAGTAGCTTGTACATGACTGACCTAACATGAAGTCTTTGAGTTCTCTTGTGTTGGCCAGGACCTGAAGAACACTGTTCATGAAGCAGGTGTTACCAAGGTTATCAAGTCCACAGTACCCGTAATGAAGGGATGGTGTAGGCTCGGCTGGCAAGGATGGAGTCTGCTTCCCTAAACTCAACGGCGGTACTGTGCACGTGGGTTTCTGGGAGAAGTAAGAACAACACTTACTTATGGGCGAACAATGACCGAAAAACATTGAGGAAATACTTGCTGAATTAAAAAAAAAAAGAATGTGTTCCTTAAAGGGAGTATCAAACCCATTTTTATCTCATTTTATAGCCGTTTTTTAGTTTTCCAGTGCTAAACCACATCCTTTATCATGTATTAACCTTGATGTTTTATAAGACCCTGAGATCTAACGTATGCTCTAGTGACATCTACTTCGGGTCTTAGTTCGGTAAAAGATATGGTGTCAGGGCTTGGGTTAGAATTGGTCTTAGGTAATAGAGGTTACGATTACGGTTTAGGTAAAGTGTTGGGTCAAAGTTGAGTTGCAGTTAAGAATGCAACTGCTATAAAAAGTTCAACATTTGACTGTATGACATTATTGATACATGGCTAATGTTCTATCCGTTCCTAATTCCTAACCCCAACCCTGAACCAAACACTACATGTAATCCTGACCCTACACCTAACCTAAGACTCCCCTGCAAACCCAACCCTATATCATTGCTGACATAAAGCTCACAGCAAACGTTGCAGAGAAAATGTTGAATTACTACAAGGAGCAACTGCCACCAGAGGTTTGTCGCACAATTATAAGACACACAATGATTTACCTTAGTGCTAAATATATTACTCATTGCGGATGTAGTATTGAAAATAATATTGTTAGTGACAATTTGTCTCGCAATGTATAATGGTCAACAAGGAATCTAAAAGATCACGACGTTTCGTGCACCGCTGCAACACCATTTACCTTGGTCCTTGTTACATTCTCCTTGATCTCCACTGACTTGGCTCCCCCTACGGCACCTCTCAGGTTCTCCTTCTCAGAGCCTGCATCTTTAGTGATTTCAGCTGATTCCTTGGCACGCTGAGGCGTGGCTGTCTGGGAGGAGGACAGGGGTACCCAGTCACCCTGAGACGCAGCCCTGCCCCTAGAGCCATCTCCAGATTCTGCAGGTAAAGACAATTTGAAGAATTGCATTGATTATTCTGCATACAACTGTCACTCTGTCACATTTTTTGGATACGATAAGTTTTCCAAGCATGCAGCATGAATAATTCCTTAATGTCCAAATATATCCAATTCACAGTTGTACAAATATGCAGTTGAATTGAAATGTTACATATATTTAATGATGACCATGACAACATGTGTAAACCCAGGGTGGTTCACAAGGGGTTTAAACAACATGTAACAGCAAAATAGGTTGGACTTTTAAATGAACAAGTTTCAAAATCAGCTACAGATTTGAATATTGATTGCACATGTTCCAAATCAGGATCATTTTCATAATTAATGAAATATTGGTCATGAAATGTGTTTAAAAATGCTTCAAATTATGGCTCAGATTGCATTGGAGTGAATCTAAGAACCTCAGGGCTCTCAAGCAAGTCTTGGATCCAGGGGGGTGTTTCACAAAACTTATCATCGGTGACAAATGACACTTTTGTTTAAGCTACTGAAATCCTTGCTTCTAACTGGTTATCAACAGATTTGTCACTGATTTTGTCAATTGTCATTGAAAAAAGGCTTTGTGAAACGGGTCCCAGGTCTCATGGGTCTTTGTGCTTCAAATACATCAGTTCATAACTCAATAAACGTTCCAAATTTACATGTTCCAAGTTTTGTTTGTGGACCACCTTGATGAACCTTTACCTTTAGTTGAGCATTCAAGGGCCTTCCATTTCTCTGCTTTTTGTGCGGTGATGTTAATTTCTAGATTACTCTTCGTCACCTTGTGATGGCAGCCTTCAGGATCAATGGGCCTCCTGCAGACAGAGTAAAATTTAAATATAAAACCTGATAATAATATTCTCTTTATGAAAAGCGCATATCATAATGTGATAAAATGCCTCTATGTGCTTCCAACAAACTTTGAAAGTTATTACCCCATCTTATTTAACCCACTGCTTTTTAATTTTTAATTTATTCATTTTTTTATCTTTTTAATTTCTTGTGGTATGTTGGTGTTCGGTACAGATGGAATGCAAACAAAGAAAAATCTGCAATAAAATGTATGTTTGGTGTAAATTTGAAGAGAATGCACCATTGCAATATATCTAATATTTAAATTAAAAATAATTCATAGTGGGTTCTTGTATAGCGCTCACGTCTGTCAGATTTGACACTCCTGGTACCCCATGATCATTACCCTGGCTTTGGCTTGGCTGCTGCAATGGCGCTCTAGCATTTCAAGGAATTAATTCCTGTCACGTACCCATTTACCTCACCCTGGTTGAGTTCTGCAATTGTAGATAAATGTCTTGCCAAAGGACATCAGTGCTACAGTAAACTCTGTGATCCACAATCTGCTGATTTTTCCACTAAACCACAACACCTATACATGTCTATACACTCTGAAGCTAAAGATTGTGATTTATTTTTTTCAAACAAAATATGCATTTGATCTTCTAGACATACCCAGGGATCCCAATTAAATGCTAGAATGTATTATGCTGTTCAGGCAAAGGGAAATGATATTCTTTAAAGCTACCTTCATTTATCTTGTAGCTGCTTTTAGCTTTTTTTAAATTGTAATAACATGTGAGGTTCATGTCACAATGAGAGGTATAACAGGTCCCGTGGTTGAGTGAATCGTTGCAGATGTGGATCACTTGATTCACTGATCAAGTCCCGCCATAGCACGGACGTTCTTTTGCATGACATTAATCTACATTTACCAATAACTGCAGCCAGTCGTTAAGTGTGTACCCAGTAGGATGCGAAGGTTAAATTGTAAATCGCTTAGAAATGTTATTATTATCATTATTATTATAATTATTATCAAAGGACACCGACAACGCTAGTCTATAATCTGAGTTATGCAGTGAGGGTATCTTACCATGGTCTAATTCTCCAACAAAACAAAGTGTCTGATGTACTTCCAGAATTCATCTGAAGGAATTGATTATCGCTGAAAGCAAAGACATATTGAGCAATGAGATGATAATGTATCTAAAATTCAATCAACAAGTTTTTATTCTAAATTTGGTACTAATACTTGAAGAGTCCACTTGATGAAAAAAATTAATCAAATCAATTATTCTTATCAAGATTCCACTGGATGTAGAAATCACCACTATAGTCTCTTCACAGAGCTTTGCATGAAAAAAAAAATCTGGTACATGGAGTAGGCTGTGAATCCATGTATTGATTTGACAAGTGCAACCAAATTTAGCAAACTATCTATCAAAGATATTACAATTTAACAATCATGGAGACCAGTCAGAGGTATTCTAGCTTTAAAATAAGTGCTGATTTACAACTCTCACAAGTTTCTCCTTTTCAGTAGTTTTGACTAAAATCATTCATGCAATGGCCTAACCTCAGTATAGTCATCAGGCTTAAAATCTTCAAAGCATGAAATTAAAGTAGATATTTCAAGACTCACAAGAGTTTGATATCCAAAACAATAAACTTGTAGTTCACTTTGCTGTTTTGTGAATCTAAATTCAGTATATCTGAATTTAGATAATACTAACATTTTTACTCAATAGTAAAACTAGGCAACATTGATACACAAAAATAACTTATATGTTAAAAGGGTCTACACTTCAAAAGCACATATTTCAACATTTCGGTTCAAGATGGCACATCAAAGATCAATTTCTTACCTGGTCTTGAATTTGATGCATATTTCATTTTCTGTGAAGGTGACATTGACAGAGTCCCGTCTGATCTTTTTCACATACACATGGAAGTAGATAACTTTCAGGTCTTGCTGTAGATACAAACCATGGACAAAGTATTAGAGATATCCTGTAAGCAGGCATTTGAAACGGTTCATTTTCAATGAATATGGATTTGTTTTAATCATTAATGGGCCAGTTTTTATTCTAGGAACAGGATAAGAGTGCATGAATTACAAACTTGAACAAGCTCTGAAGTAGCTTACGATGGAAACATCAGGCTAATCCTATGAGAAATCTATTTTCTGTGAGAATACAAAAGGTAATTTCCAACATTACTCTCTATTTCATTAAAACAGAAATAAATATTGTACAGTAAATCATCATGAAATATATGAAATAATTTTTCTGAATATATATATATATATATATGCTCCTATAGTTTAAAATTCTGAGGAATACCGATAGCTATGAATGAAAAGAAGACCAAAGAGAAGACTTACTCTCGGAAAGAAACTATGTTTGACATGGTTCACCACATATTCCTCTATTTCATCCTTCTGGCCGTCACCCTCTCCATCTCTGACCACTGAGGTTCCTTCTTTGGGATTTCCCTTCTCATTTGCCGCATTGGAGATACCTTTCTCTTGCTTTGCTTTTGTGAAAGCACAATCCTAAAAATAAAAATACTTTATTGTTAGTGGCCAGATTCTATCTGTTATGAAACTGCAAGAAGAATGCTATGAATACATGATTGCACTGTGTCATTAAGAAAATTAACATAATAACATGGGTAGTAACTAATTAGAGTTCTTTGCTTTATTTTTGCATAGTAAGGATGAATATCATTTCAAATGATCGACAGGGTCTGGTAATACAATTGCTATCAGAAGAAATACAAAAATAAATTTCATTTCAGATGTAGGTTTCAATCAACAGCATATTGTTTGTAATAAAATTACTAATGGAATTTGGAATGTTGTGTGTTTCAATATGTAGAAATAATTTCTTCTGGATTTTTATATCTCAGTCAATTGAATTAGTGTAAAATTGTGTTCAGCTTCATAATGAAAGAAATTGTTGAAAAGAAGAAGAAAAAAATTACTTATTGTTCAAATGAACTTTAAAAATAAGATTGTGCACATTTTTTAATAGAAGGATTGCCTATTGTATTTGTCCAAACTCATGCACTCTCCAAGTATTTGCTTGTAGAGAGAACAGGTTTGGTGCTACTTACTCCCAATTGTTTCCATTGCTTGAATTTCTCTTTCTTCTGTAGATGAACTATAAGTGCTCCATCTTTCACCTTAACACCAGCAGAAGACTTGAGGACCAGGTGCTGAAGTGAGCAGACCCACTTACTGCCATCTATAAAAGAGTTCACAATCCAATATATAACAATAAAGGCAGTGCACTTGACTTCAAGTACCCATTAATCAAGTGTACAACATTAATTCATATTCATGGTACAAAAATGTATAAATTAATTGCAATGATAAAATATTTTTAAAATTTACGAATTTTTTGGATTTTTGCAAAATTTTGGCTAGGAGAATTTTCTTACCGGTATTCATAACTATCTGGGAATATCATATTGCTATGGAAACTAAATTTTTTAACTTTCTTCATGATTTGAAATGGAACATTCTTTCAAGCCTGCATGTCTGCAATTTCCTGACAAAAGCACATCAATAAATGCGGTATCAATCAACAATAGATATGCTGGTAGAAGGAAAAATTAATATTTTTCATGATGGACAAAAACTAAAATATGAATGTTAAGGTAAACTCTGCCAACACAACTTTCATAGACTAACTGGGTTACCTTTAAAACACACGTTGCAAACACAGGTCTTGCCACTGTCATCAAGTCTGAGTTCAACGTCCTCTTTCTTGATCTTCCCATTCACATCAAAATCAATGTAAATATCTTCATCTGTCTGTCTCCATTCATATTTAATTTTACCTGTAATGAAGGGAAAAGGTGCACTGTGTGAAAAACCCAAATTGCATCCAACAGAATAATGTGGTAAAAACAAGTGTTTTCAATAAATTCCTAGCTAGGTTGGGCATAGTTTTCTAAGAGTAAATCATTTGGTCCTCTTCAAATGAAATGCTACAAACAAAACATGCAAAGGTGAGAAAGTACTTGCCATCTGCATTGCCATTACCTATCAACATGATTAAGAGGCATTTCATAAACACTGCAGTGCAAACACATTTTACATAAATTTAAAGATGAAGTTGAGTTCTGGTCATGCGATTGCATTGTGAAAGAAACGGTGTGGAACCGACCAGAAAAGGTTGATCATCTAGCATATAAGAATTTGTGTGTATTGCAAGGTTCTGGAATCATCAAAATGATCAGAAATGTGGCCAAGTCTTGGTAAAGTTACAAACCCTTGCACAGAAAGATGTATATGGGACTACACGAACACGTGGCGTAAAAAGCCGGCCCCCGATTTTTACGATGTTACATGCATATTTAGAATATGAAGGCATTTGAAGAGCCATGCTTTTCAGGGAACATGTCTTAACTGATGTTCTTCGACACTTGCATAATAAGAATGAGTAATGCTCACAAATTATTTTTCACCTCTTCCCAGAACTCAACTTTCTCTTTAAAGTGCATGTCACTGTAATGTCTTTTGAGATAGATCCCTAAACATCTTTGATCATAGAAAATGAGAAAGGAGCTAGGAGTAAAATGAATCATTAACAAGCAAATCCGCAATACATATCTTTTTTAAAGAAATTGAAAGTCTGAAAATTACCATTTCATTTTAAACTAGACTCTAACAAGTTAGACCTAGACTAGAGTCCAAGTCTTTAAACCAAACCAATAATTCAAATAATTGAAATTAATCATTAGTTACATTATACACCTGTTCTCGAAATGTAAATGTACACATGACAGATCATCAACACCATGATTGTTCTTCTAAATAAGTCAACTTTCAATTTCATATTTTCATTCACATTGTCATGATTGTGTCAGTCACATTGTGAATTTGTTAATTTTGAAAGAAAAGATGCACTTGAAATTGAATTTTAAAAAAATACCTTCTCCGACATCCTTCACTCCCATCTTATATACACAAGTCCTTCTCGATTCTATGATTCGTCTGAACTTGTTGATCTGCCCACAGTAAGAAGGGGGAAACTAGGCGAAGCCGAATTAATTCGAAAGCAAAGCCGCGCAAGCCGGGCTCTTAGTTTCAGCGGTACTTCCGACGAGTCTACCCCAGCGGTGCTGGTGCACTTTTCGTGAGTGTGCCGATTCAAGTTTTTCCTGCGCCCTCATTCACAAAGCAAAGCCGGGCCGAGAATCCGACAAAAAAATAGTACATCTGATTATCACACCTATTCAAGAGATGCCAGAGTCTGAAGTTTTATTGCTTTCAGAAAATTTCATAGGACGAAACCGTCAAGAAATAACTGAGTTTGGCTGAAAGTTGTCACAAAGAAAGATCTCGATCTGCGCCATTCATTGGGGAAGTTATTATGCAGGTGCCTGTCTGACATTTAACCGCAGATGGCGACATCAATCTTTTGATCTAGCTTTGCTCTTTTTACGATTATTTATCAGTGTAATAAGGAAATCAAACCACTTTTTGCTATTTTAATTCATATTACACTTTTATCAAGCCAACAAACATAACGTTATACCCTTACAAGGGGTAAACGAATTCCCACTTTCTTGTTGGTGTCACAATGATCGATTCTCACAAGGTGCGATGTTAAGAGGGAGGGGGAAAGATGCTGTTGGTTGCAAACTTGCAATGAAAATATTCGCATAAAATTATATTTCAGAAGTGCCCCTTTACATCTTTGATGAGTGCCACTTCTTACATATGACAAGTGCCCCATTTTATTTTTCACGTGCCCTCTGATTCTTTCTAATACTGAGTCACTTTCCCTTCTCATAAAGTCTATTAAAATCTCATTTTGACAAATGCCCATTTTCCTTTGTAATGATCGAGCGCCCCTTTCCATTTTCACAGGTGCCCACATTTATGTCAGGCGAGTGCCCCTTTTCAGGTAAAAAAAAGTTTTCCTAACCATCTGTGAAAAGTGCCCCGTCATCTCTTATAATTGCCTCTTTTCAAATCTGAGAGGTTTCCCTTATATTTTGATAAGCGGCCTCTTTTCCTTGGTAGGCACTCTTTTCATTCTCATAAGTACCCATTTTCATCTCTGATAGGTGCCCTTATTATTTAGACACCTGTCCCTTATCATTTCTAATAAGTGCCATTTTGCTACTGACAATTTCCCTTTTCCCTTGTAATAAGTGCCCCTTTTCCGTTCCGTCATAAGTGCCTTTCTTCATCTATGGCGAGTGCTTATACCAGGTGCGGGAAGTGCCCCATTTTCACCTCTTATAATGATTTCCCTTTTTACTTTGACATGCGTCATTTTCTTTTTGGATATGGGCTCCATTCCTTTGACCATAAAATGTGTTACTACTGATTTAAAACGATTTTAATTTCACCTAAAGCTCGCTCGCATTTAAAGTCGATATAATTAGAGAGAGAGGGTGGGAGATTAAAAAGGGAAGGGAGTCGAGGGAGACAAGACAAAATCAAAATTCAAAACAAGTAAATAACTTCACCTGGAAAGTCATTATTCTTTATTAGGTCTGTTTGCCTTTGAACGATGTACCTAATTTAATTTTCCATTCATTTTATGGGATATGAAAAGTGGAGTTTTTGCTAATCGGTTTACGGCAGCAACCTGCAGTCCGAACCTTTTGTTATCATCGTATTATGCCCGACACTGATAATAATCATAAATATTTATGATAAAGTATCTAATTCTTAATTGTTATCTGCTTCCTCTTTGTTCATATATATTTTATTTTAAAATAATAGAATGAATATCTTTCCGAATTTCTATTGTTCTTCCGAAGATAATCACTATCTATTTTTTTCTTCCACTTGAGGTCCCTGAATTTTGTTTTGAAAACTTAAAATTTGGGGTTAAAACAGATTTGGCTGCCAAAAATGTAATTTTAATCATAGTATGCTTCTCGAACTTCAGATAGGAGGCACTTTCATATACCGTAGGCCACTGTGACTGTCGATGAATTTGTAAAGTGTAAATTCAATGTCACATCTCGAGCATCTACTTGCTGGATTGCAAAAGTAGACAAATCTTATCAAGAAGAACAATGAGAATATTATGAACATAAATATCAAGAAGGCAAATACAATTCTTAGTTTCGTTTGAATGGAGCTCTTGGGATGCCGTTGATCTTTTGGAATGATAAAAAATGAAGGCATTTGATCTACTCTAATGATCTTTCCTTTGCGGGGTGTCATTGCAGGAATTGACGGACATGGAAAGTTTGCTAGTGAAGGAGGGTTTGAGTCAGGATCTAGCTTCGGTGAATGGATAGGGTTTTGTGTGTCATCTAAAAGAAACAATGGTCTGTCGTCTGCGGAAGCAAGAGGAGGATTTCTGTCAGACTTTATCTTTGACGGACCAGTTTCTGTGTTTTCGAGGTTGACTGGATCACTGGCTGCACTGGCTAATGCATTTGTCTTTGAATCAAATACAGAATCAGTTTTCTCCTTTTTGTCTTTACATTTGCAGAAATGCTTGATTCGATGACGCTTTTGAAAATATCTTCGGATGTAAGTGGTCCCCTTTTCAAACTTCTTGATGTGTGCTTTCACGGTCTCTTCTACCTCAATGTCAGGAGATGTCGATCTCCTCGCTCGTTTTCTACTTGGCAGGAAGGTTACCCCATTGGAAGTATCTTCATTACCATGAGTACCTCCAGTTTCTGAGTTTTCCCGTGACCGCTTACAGATTCGTTTCATCAGTCGGACAGTTTGCCGGCGCAGGAGTGACGAAGCAGGATCGGTGCTGGAACTAGACTCATCATGCTCCTTCTTGAGGACTTTTAATTCCTTCATCATTACTTCCAGACTGTCCTTACTGTCATTGTCGTTTTCAGAGCTCGAAGATGTTGCTTGCGGAAATGCCCTCCTGTGTGCTCTCTTTGCAAAACGACGCTTGCCGCTTTTCATTTTCCCAAACATTTTTACATCCGATGGAATTTTATCTTCACCTCGAAAATTTTCATTTTCATTTTCATTTGTAGGTTCTGTCTCGGCATCCAGCAGTGCAACATCGTCATTATCTCGAGAACGTACTGCTAAAACTTGATCAGGTGTACCCATATACAGCTGTTGGATATGACTAAGAATTTCATCGGTGTCCTCAGATTCTTCCACGGCGCCAGAAGCCGGCATCACATCCCCGTTTTGCTGTTGACTGGCTGATGATCCAGGAGCAAGGTGGTTTAGGGTGGTGCTGGTTGTCTTTTTCCTACCATGATCTCGAGGAAGGGGAGAGTGCTTCTTTTCAACAATCTGAATCGCTTCCTCTCTGGTTGACCCTTCCGTTTGATCTATTTCCTGTTTTTTGTACATGCGAAGTGTCTTGCTCCCTTGATCTGTGGACAGTAAAAACAAAGTTCACAGGCACTCTTATCAACCTAATGTTCTAAACAAGGATAAACAAGAAGTATGTACTGTATGTCACGATTATCAATATACTTTATTGCTTTTATCATAATTCTAGTACTCGATCGCCTAAAATGACAGTACGGTCGATATTATTGTACATAATGCATATAATCATGTATGATATCGACCACATCGAAAATATAAATAATATGTTTTCTAAACGATGGAGATTTTCTGTATATTTTTATCAACATTGATAGTAGATTTCATGTTAATTTTAATGATTCAACAAACAAAAACAGTAGAAATCAACCGATTTAACAAAAAAATCTTACTCGCCTTTAATCCTTACGACTCTCTTGAGTTCACATTCCTTGCTGCTTTTGTTCTGTTCCCCCGTTCTTCCTTTGCGCTCATCACCATGCAGAGACGGATCCAGTGAGCCCAAAGTTTCGGCAACCATTCGTCGTTCCTTTTCGGTCTGACTTGCCCTCTTACGTGACTCTTCGTCACCCCTTCTGCTTATCAGTTTCTGGCAAGGCTCAGATTCGGATTCACTGATGTATGGACGTTCCATCTGGATTAAATTGTTGTCATGTTCAATGTAACCGCCGGAAGACTGGAAATTGACATGCCTCTGATAGGCGTCCTCTTGGATACCCTTCTCTTCGTCCTCGTCATCATTCACGGAATTGCCTTGTTGCATGATCGCAGGGCGCTGCCTCCTGTTCCTCTGCAATCTCTCCAGCCATTCAAGAGTAGTTTCATTACCAGACGAGTCATCACTGTCGAAGCGCTTTCTCCGGACTCGCTCCAATTGGCTCTTGAGTCTGCCCTTAAACCTGTATAGATTACTCTTATATTCACGGGATTTACGATGTTTTGTGATTTCTCTGATGTCAACAGAGTATTCCATCGTCTGGGTCAGGTCCATGTTTGAACCTGGATCCTCGTCCGTATTGTCGTCCATGGTGTCTTTCAAGTTGTCAAAGTTTGACATCATCTTGTTCATTAAGTCTCCCTCGTCCTCCTTCAATGTGCAGATAAAAAAAAAGGGAAGGATTTTATTTTTAAATGGTTATTTTCTTGTTACATGGCTCCATATATCAAGGGAACATCGTCATCGGTGGTGGTGGTAGGGGGGGGGCGGTGGTAATGGTTTTAACCTTTCCCTCTCCCTTTTTTCACCAGTTTCCGATTTACGACTGGCGGGGAAAGGGAGAGGGGCACGTGTTTGGTATGGCATTAATGAAATGTTAGTTAGTGACACATAAGATTGTAAAACACATCTTATTTGATTCTTCAGAAATTGCGATCCCCATAAATTAACCCATGATATTGATTGTATCCGGAAATACCAAGAAATATATGAACAGGAGATAAGATGTGGTGATAGGGGCATCGCAAACCCATTGCAGGTTCTCAAATTTTTCGGGCTCACAAAATGGGGGGGGGGGGGTGGACGTAGCCCGGCCTCCTTTGCCCATCGGATGTTGGGCTCAGCGCTGTTTTTAATCTCTTAAGTATAATAATGTCTCACAGCCACAGGAATTTATATTAATGAGAATGATGTGAAAGAAAAGAATAAAGGTCGATTTTTTTAAAGACCAAAGTTGTAAAATAAGACAGGCAAAACGTTATACTTACCATTATCGGCAATTTGATGATCTCCTGCTACAAATTATTTATTAGTGTCGTACCAACGCTTGTTTTATCTACTTATTGAACCTAGATAAGCATCACCTATATCCTCGTATGGCATTAACACTAGTCGACTGAGCTTTGAGATTATGTTGCGTTTCCTTTGTAACCATGCAGATCATTGCTCAAGAGGTTCCAACACGCCGATGACGCGAGATGTTCAGGCAATGACGCAACAATCAAACTAAAATTACATGGCGCGCCCCATAAAGATAAGTAGACCCCTAGCCCTACGCGCAGCTATACAGGAGTTTCAACCAAAGGTTTCAGCGTGGGATTTGTGGTGGTGGGGGTGGGGGGGGGGGGGGCTGTTTTTATAAAAAATAAAGGTTCGGTGCAGTTTTACACGCTATCAAAATCAGCCGCACCGTAAAATTAAATAAAAGGGCTGATAGCTTTTTTTAGAAGGATCGCAGATTTATTGATTACAAATAAATATGGGAATACCATTCATCTATTCTCAAACAAATTTATTGTGCACTTTCCATTTTCATGCGTAGGCCTACTGGCAAGAAACTTCAAAATGGCATTTATAAAATGAGACCAAAATCACCAAAAAGAAAAAAAAATAAGATCGGAACAACCCCATGTATCGCTCATTACGGTATGCACGCACGCCATGGGTATTTCAAGGTCGGTGTTGTTATGACAACACCGACACCTGGGCCCTGTATTACAAAGAGTTGATATCAATCGCAACTTATTTGTAATTGCTATCAATCACAACTATGTTCATAAGAGATGGGAGACTGCAAACTTGTGATTGATTTAGGGACTTATTGATTCGGATCAATATTAACTCTTTGTAAGACGGGGCCCAACTCTCGACACCGAACTGAAATCGCCATTTTTTGTATTGAATGTCAAGATGTTCAGAGGATTATATACATATATTTTGTTTGGTCCCGAAATTTGAAAATTTGACCGATCGACATTCCGTTCAGTTTGGGGGGGGGGGGGGGGTGGGGGGTAAGGTCATCTTTTTTAGGTCTTCCATTAGGAGAAAAAAAAATTAACTCAAAAGGTTTTTATTTTCCCCAAAAACATACACATAAAAAACACTGAAGGGGGGGTTAACCCCCAGCCCCCCCCCCCCTTTGCGTACGCGCCTATTCTCAACTGATAAATTAGGCATCTTCAAACCTCTTTTTAAACGTCACAAAAGGCCAATGTAATCAATAATACACCAGTTTACAGTTGTATCAGTGCGCATGCGCAGACAGAGGTCAGAGGTTATTGGCCCAAAAATTGGGGCCAATAACCTCTGACCTCTGGTATTTATGCGTAAATTAAGATTGCGCCCATGCAAATGATGATATGCGCGCACAACGCAGCGCGCAGGCAGTGATATCATCATAATTTGCATGGGCGCAATCTTAATTTACGCATAAATACATGACCTCTAGGTCATTGGCCTTGTTTAAAATGGCGCACACAACTGTAAACTGGTGTATTGTTTACTAAGAATATGAACGTTTAGAAAATGAAGGAGTCTTCAAAATCGAGGCAATTGCCAAATGACATAGGCCCTAATTACAATTTATGCTATGACTATAACTTTGTATCATCCTTCATCTCCCCCGACACAATAAATTCTCATAGTTTCCCTATTTTTTTGTAATTTCCCCGCTGTGTACGCTCGCTCGCATTATAGTTTATCTCATTTAACATATTTCAGTTTCTCATGATTTTTCCTTCATTTTGAGACTGCTTAAAACCCCATACAGGATTGGTTATTAATTTTCATCTGATGATAAGATCAAATCAGTCGCAATATGCTACCTCACAGATCTTAAAATTTGTCCTTGCTAACTTCGCTCGCTCACAAATAAATCTAGTGATCATTACACAAGTATAAACCTATTACAAACTATCAGTGCTGAAGCAGTATCTTGGACACATAAAAAGACAATCTTGCAGATCATCACTGATAATGTAATAATACAATGTAAGAATATATATTTAATGTCAAAATTTTTATTTTTATTTCGCTTCGAGGTTATCCTTTGTATCCAGAAAGTGCCCTTTTTGTCGGTGCCCCGGCCCACCCACTTTGAAAGACTTTTTTTATACCGCCCCTGCTTGCAAACTTTCATTTTGTGTGGAAAAGGGCTACTGTTTGCATTTGTACATGATCGATCACCCTTTCTTGCAAATTATGATTTATTTATTTCTGATTATACTATTATACAGGTTGGTCGCCCATATAGTATATTTTCCTGAGGCTGCCACTCACGTTCAAAGCGGTCTCTCAGTCGATCCTGTCCAAATTTGAAATGATTTGTCAACTGTATTTTTTGAAAGATAGAATGATTTATTTGATTAATATTACGATATTATATACGTTTTTTAACTTTTGTTAGTAATATCCCGGAATAATATATTATGTACCTAGTTTGTATATTGAAAAATGCAGAAATAAAAATGTAACAAACATACAAACTTTTAAGATAATCTTCACCAGATAATTTACCGAGAGTATAACGAATTATTAAAATGTCAAACAAATCAACCATTTCTTTTCCGGGGGGGGGGGGGGGCTAATTGACAGGGCCGCAAAGACACTAAATTCTATAAAGTCCGTCAGTTGCCAGAATGAGAGTCTCATGCAGAGGTCAGTGTGGTCCATATATCTCTATGGTGTGGTCTCATGTTAAAGAAAACGTTGTTTGTTGTTTTGGCGACACCCTATTTTATTCAATTTTTTTAATTAAAAAAAAAAAAAAAATAATGATTGAAACAATTTAACATTATTTATTTGACCAATCGAAAAACATATCTTAATACATACACACAACTTTAGGGAAGTGGAGAGGAGAGAGAGAGAGAAGGATACATGAAATCTGCTGGGGAAAAGAAAAAAAGCAATTAAAACTTGCTATATCATTACTCGAAAGCATGTCACCCCCCAATGATTATAGTAGTTAAAAGTCATGCGCTATATAAATAATTTCATGAACTAACTCATATAAACTAATAAAGCCCACAAGTGTTTTGCTTATGCAGTTGTCTTTCTCCTAATAAATAAATAAACCCTCTAAACATACAGGTACACGACGCCCCCTTGTCTATGCCAGAGTGACCTAGGTTGAGTTTATCAACCGAGAAGCGTACGGCGTAACATAACTCGCTGGGCTGGTAAGAAGGCATCATAGAAAGGACAGGGCCAGCGTGAGTTGGAACTGTGTGCGGATCGTGGTTTAATTTGAAATAATTTTTTGTTTTTATTTTTTTTGTAGACTATGACTAATATTATATTAAAATGAGATTGGAAAAATAAAGAAAGAAATAATAATTTTACCAAGACATTAAAAGAAAGAGATGCGATGAAATTGGCAACAATAGTCAAATTTGACTAATAGCCATTATAATACCAAACGAACAACAACAACAACAAGGAGCGCGATTTCAAATTTTGAGTTTGAGAAAGAGATACCGAAAATAAGATTTTAGAAATCAACAAAATGCCCATGTTTTTCACATTATTTTTCCTTATATTGTATCTTTGAATCAGTTCAGGTAAGAATAAATCGAATTTTAGAAGAGCAATAACCATTCTTTTCGAAATTTAGTACCTTTTAATGTCGATGATTTATTAATTACAGTCCCACATGTTAAAAATTATGTTTGCGGTAGGCTAGATCTAGTCAAACTTAGGAAGACCACTCAGGCATTTGTGATATTTTGAAAGTCTTACTAATACTAATTCAAAAATGTGGTATGAGCTAAAACTAAACATGATGGTATAATTTACTGACTGTATGCATGCATGTGCATGACGTTCATCCGATCTCGTTGAATTGCAGCACTGGCACAAAGAACTTTGGGTTGCACGCGCCTGTGACTGTGTGAAGTTATCTACCGTAATGTCTCAGATCCTTATTACGGTAGATAACTTCACACAGGTGCGCGTGCGCCCATCTGCAACCCACCATCGGTATGCACTTGTATTGTGTAGCAGTTTGCCGTGAAACCTGTGAAAAGGTATACTAAAGATCTGTCAATGTTTTGCGAAAAATACTCCAAAAATTACAAGAAAATTGACTTTTAACTCATGATCTTTATTTGGACATTTAATGAATATTAAATTTACTTCATTTTGGGTATGTTTTATGAGGGTATCTCCACGACGGTGTGACGGGTCAAATTTTGGATAGGTTTCTGAACAAGCGCCGAACTTTGCGCATTGAGCGCTGTACGTTTACGCGTTCTGATTGGCCGATCCGCTCGAGTGGCTTTAAATTTAAGTGAGAGAGGGCCTACTTAACTTAAGCGCAATCTAAGTTTCCAGTTTGTACCTTAAATATGCGAAAAATGAAAAAAATTCAAAGTCAAACTTCAAAAAAAGTTACGTAGACCTATCTAGGTGGTCTAAGTCTGTCTTAAACTTTGGTGAAATACTTAACCTTTTAAGGATGCTGAAAAATTGTAACAAATAGAGTCTTTGACTGGAATATCATGATTTTGGTATCGGATTTAAGGGAAAATAGCAAGCTTTCTCCTCGTGAACAGCAGCCAATGAAAGCAAATAAGAAGGACACTTGTCAGCAATTTAGGACAATGACTGAGGCTGCAATTCGCTGAGATCGGATGAACGTTCTGCGCATGCGCTAAATGTAAGAAGTTCTACGTGTGCAGCCTCATTTTATGCAGTTTTTTTTTAAGGACACATTTTCATGCTTTTTTTTTACACCACTAAGCACAACATTGATATAATGACAATGTTACAGTGTCACAAATTCAAGTGGAAGTACTTCTTCAGTTTGCTATTTTTTTTAAATAAACCCTTTTTACATACTGTTACAATTTTGTCACTTCCAGATAAATTAGGAAGCAGTGTTGTCAAGATGGCTGCCTTTAAGGAGATGTCAGAGTCAGACCTTGCTCCTGAGTTAGCCGGGCTTCAGAAGATATCCTTATCAGAATTACATCCATCTAGCACATTACTCAACAGATATGTGATGGTAAGTGTCTTTAGATTATTGTTATCATCATTATTTATTGCGCCTTTAACCCCTGCCGTGAACTTGCGTGAAGCTGGCCATTTCAATTTGTTCATGGCCTTAAAGAGTCTGAATTGCTTATATTTACTTTTAATGATGGATTTATGGTTGATACTGGTTAAATGTTGTTGGATAGAAAAAAAAAAATATGTCCATGTACAGATATTAAAAAAATGTATTATGCTTCATTGCTTTGCAAATGGTGTACTTCCTGAGACATTTTTGAATAAGCAGAATTTAAGAATAATATATTTATATTGTTGCTAGAATCCAAGTTGTAGCAAATTTAATAAATGTTGATGAAAATTACAGGAGTATTGGACACAGATATAATGGCATAGGACTACACAATCCATGGCATTCAAAACTTGGTCCAGAGGCAGAAACTCTATCAAGTCATTTGAAATGTAAGAGCAATCCTGTCCATATTGCTCTGATATTCTTCTTCAACAAAGGAATAAAAAAAGATTGATGAAAAAGAAAATTCACAAATAATTTTGAATTTTACTAGAAATCAAAATTCTCTTTATTTTTTGTCTTTCTATTTCTCAGGGTAAAATGGTTGACCGTAGTCCATTGATAACCAAAGGCAAGCTGCCTGTCTTGAGGTTAGTTCTGGAGGAGTCTTCATCAACTCACATCAATGTCTATACATTTGGTGACTTTGCAACAGGGATTGATGCTTATAAGAATGGGGTAAGTAACTATGGCGACTCTTCACTTCATATGTAGAGACTGGAATGTTGTTGATTTGCAATACAAATTTGGGCTTTATGTGTGTAGGGAGCATCGATTTGTGATAAATGTAGTTTTGTGTATAAAATGATAATTGGAACACTGCACTTTTCATGTACTGTATGTATTTGAAAAAGAAAAAAAATCTTGTTCTTTTCAAGTTGATTAATTATGAAAAAGATTTTTCTTCTTTGTGTTAAGATTTTCATAGTAATCTTCCATCAGGAAAATCATCTTTATATTACATTAAAGATGTTGGTGTCCCACATACAAGTAAAATAATGATTTACAATTTTTTAATTTAAAAAAAAAAAAAAATCACATTTTATGTTCGGCATAGTTTGATTTTTAGACATCTTAATGACACTACTGCTCTCCCAGGAATGAAAAGAAAGTATGCTGGATTTGAAAAAAGTCAGGCAAGCTGGCATTATGTTTTATGTTGTTTGGGGGTGGTTTTTTGTGGTAATTATATACCTTATTAATAAATATTAGATGTTTTGCATTTTACACAGGTCTGTATTCCTTGTCTGTGTCTTGTTTACATTTCTGCTGAATTTTGTATACTTCATATTAATGAGAATTTGTATTTAAATTATCTCTTTTAGGATACCATCTTTATTAGCAATGCTGTGATAGAGCGTTCTCACACATTCACTAAAGATGGCCATCATAAATGCCAGCTGATGGTTCATAAAGGAAGAAGTCATGCACTTGTTTGGGTAAGTCCTTTTCTTATTCTTTTGTAGGAAAAGAGTGTCTAATTTTAACAACAACAAAATGAAAAGAAAAGGAAATCGGTATGAAAACAAATATTAGTAAGATCTGTTAGAAAGCAGATACTTTCCTCCTTCTGATTTGCCTGGGTTGTGCTAAGGCATTAAAGATGGTTACCTGTTACGAAGATGCATTCTTTTCAACTAATTAGTCTTTACTTTCCAATACTATGACCCATTGTTGGTGTATAAAATAGTTGTACTCCTATCCCAATCAAAATCCTGTACTGTTTTAGGTGTGTCCACAACAAGAACAGGGTGGTAGCAACACTGCATCCACATCAGCAGCCACTGCCACTACAACAGCCCCTACCACTCAAAAAGGCCCTACAACAACCACGGACCATGCAGGTAGTGAGCAGGGAACACCGTCTAAGGCCATCCATGGCAGGATGGTAACCATCACTGCAGAATCATCTCCCATTAAAGTAAGAAACCTGGCTAACTTTGCGATGAAAAGAATGATTAGAATTTTGACATTGGTTGTATGGGTATATATGGAAATGTCACAATAAAAAGAAAATGCAGGGTCATAATTAATGTTTAATTCAATAAAAATTGTAACACAAATTTTCTTCAAAGACTTAAATTGTTCGTTGAATCTTTTGCATAAATAATTTACAGGTAGTAGAAGCTAAAAAAGAAAATATTGGAAGTTTATTGTGATTACAGCTAAATTTAGAAGTAGTTAACATCTAATTTTTTCTCCATTTTCAGAGAATTTTTAAGATTAGTGAGAAAATCTTGCTAGTTATCTGCTTAAATGAAAAGAAATGTTCATATGGGTTGTACCAAAATTTAATAAGGGTTTAGAAGCTATAATCCCAATCCATTGTTTCATTTGAAGAGAAAAAGGAAGATTTCTATTAATAGATATTTGATAACTTCAAATCTCATTCTGATTTCTTTTATGTTTACATCCTTGCTTTATGATTACCGGATTGAGTTTTATGTTCAATATGACATATGTCCTGTACACATATTTTAATGAATGTCGATTGTAATTATTTTTCTTCTTCTATAGTCCAAGAGAACATATGAATACAAATGCTTGAATGACGTCAAGGAAGCCAGATCTGTAGATGTGTATGGTGTTGTCAAATTCTTCAAGCCACCATACAAAACTAAAGGCCCAGGCGAGTAGATTTGGTTTGTAACAAGACATAAATGTAGACCCTTATTCCCTTAAAGAAGGAGTAAGGAGGGGGGGGGGGGGGGAGGGATCCAATCTCTAAACTGTTTTGAAAATTATTAATATAAAATTTGTTTAAATTTCATTTTGGTGGTAGAAATATTAACCAGGAATGTTTCTATCCTCCATAGACTACTGTATGTCCCTGACCATTGTCGATCCATCCCTGCCTCAAGACAATTTTGGTCTTAAATGTGTCATCTTTCATCAAGACATCAAGAAGCTTCCCCAGGTCCATAGCATAGGAGATATTGTCAGGCTACACAGACTCAAGGTACGACAGTCAATGTGGTGATTTATATATTTAATTCATGACCCAACATTCGCTCCTGCGATGATTGCTCAGGAATTTGTTTTTTCTAAGTTATAGGGTTGGAATTAGAGTAGTAATTCATAGGTGATCATAAGTGATAATGTAATGAGTTCACAAGGTTCATTTTACACTCGTTGTGATTAAATCAAGAGCTGATGATTAATCACACTATCATGAAAAAGAAGTATTACTTGTTGTATCAATTCAATATTAACTATCTCAAAGAAGAACAAAAACTTCGACATATACTGTCCTTGAGTTGTAATGTGAGATTAAATTTGCATATCCATATATTTGCTGAAGCTTATTTATCATGTGAAAGACTTTTATGTGCCAAAGGCTATATGCCATGGAAAAAAATAACAACATAAGAGTAGAATTGCTATATAGGCATATTAATTTAAAATAACATTTGTGTTTTTTACATGCAGAACAATTAGCAATTTTTTGCATCTTCATTAGTAAATTTAGCAGTTTTATCGTAAAACATGCATAGTAAATTTGATGGCAACAATTGATGCAGGATATATAAATAGCTATTAAATGCTCAATTGTTTCAGATTTTTAAAATGTTGGTAAGGAAAGGTCAGAAATCTAGTGTTTGGTCATTTCTTTGCAATGCGTAGATCCAGCAGTACAACAATCAATTACAGGGGGCCAAGGGGGATGGCTTCTCAAGTCTAGTCTTTGATGGCAGACCCAATGCTCCTGTGGAACCCAGGTCGTCCAGTGTAAACTACACTTTGTCAGATCAAGACAAGGAAAAGGTGAGGATAGAAGCATAAAACATTTTCAAAAACTTGCACTCACATTCTAACCTTGAGTTTAACGTTCATGTTTCCAAATACAGTTTTTATTTATTTATTACAACAAAATAAAGTTTCAAAAGAGTTGCAGTAGTCTTTAAAGGCAGGGTATTCTCCTGTCACTACTTCAGATTTACGTATACTGCCATCTGCTGCTTACACATTTACTCTACCTTTCCTCTCAAGGAATCATTTAAATGATGATCGTACACAATGCTAACATATATTAACAAACATACATGCTTGTAGGCTATGTACAACGATATTGCATAAGTTTAATTTATACATTTGTCAAGATACCGTGGCACAAGATGTTACACTTTTGCCTTCCTCCTGCTTCTATTAAGATATACCTTAAATTCTATTACATATGATTCTGCTATAATATAGGTGTTTTAATTTACATACATGTAGGTTCAAGAACTCCGATTGTGGGCGACACAGCAGACATCGGTGCCCCTGGCAGGCAAGAGCTGGACCCTCTCTCAAATTGTATCCCGAGAGTACTTTGACCTCATATGTCAGGTTGTTGCCGTGGTGATCATCCCAGCAGAAAGTTGTGTGCTTATTAAAGTGTGGGATGGCACCAAGTACAAATGGTATGTGGTATGCTCTGCTAGTCATGTTCCCTAATAAAATACATGTATTAAAGTTATAATGAAATTGGCAAGACTGAATTATTTACCTTTGCTGCCTTAAAAAAAAAATCTGGTTTGCTGTTCTTCAGATGTGATTGTAGTATGGGGCTTTTCTTTTACTTTTTTCTATATTGTCATGTTCATGACTGCACTTTATGGCCAGACAAGAATAGCTTTAATAGTAATTCTTTGTTTTTCAAACCAATTCTCTAATGGCGGCAAGCTTACATGATTATCTTTATACCTGTGTTTTATATTTGATGCTAAATTTTACTTGAGATGCCAAGAGATGAAGTATATTTATGTTGATAAGAAACAAGAGGATACGTGGCATAAGCTCTAACAAAAACATCTCAGTAAGGACAGAGGAGCACCATAACCAAGGATATCAACTAGCATGAACTTGATTTTGAATCTCTGCATTTCAACTCTTGACAGGTATTGATTTTGAGGCTATACCAAAAATGTTATTGGAATCTCAACTGAAACTTGTATCTGTGTACACTTAGCATTTTATAGTATATTCAGGATTTTGTATAACAAATATTGAGAGGGAGCATACTTCTGAAAAATTACAAAATCAAGGGAGTTATTTTTTGTCATGTACTGACGGCATGTTGAGTGGGTTTCTGGTAGGGTGGAATATTAACTACTGATATTGATCGGTTTTATATGTGGTATTTCATATTCTGCAGGCCAGTTCGATGTCTGGATGTGAGTAAAGTACAAGTAAAATGGGACACTGAGTTGGCATGCCGAGCAGAAGGTCTGATATTGGATGTCGCCCTCTATGATAACCACATGAAGGCTGGTCGAGAACTCAAGGTACGCATGGTCTTAGAATATATATGGAGTGGAACCAATGTTTGCAAGTGTCGGAGGTTACGTTGGCATTTTTATGCGTTTGAAGGAACAAAACTTCATGGTAGTAACTCAGCAATGAGGCTAAAGAAGGTCCATAAATGGGTGTGTATCAAGTAATCCTGTAATGACTCATTCCCTTAAAAGGTGTCTGATGAAAGTGCATTTAATACCCAAAGGAGGATACATTGTGTATGAATTCAGAGATGAAATATATTGGCATGTATTTAGGAAAGTCAAATGTTTCCCAGAATTACCATGTTATATTGTGTTATGATTATAAGTTGACACCAAAGGTATCTTTTTACTTGATACTTTGTCTGATTCAAGCTCTAAAAGGACTTGAGTAGGACAAAGTATTTCAATTTCAATATTTCAATACACAAAAATCCTTGATGCATTTAGTTGCACATGAGACAAAAAAGCATGGAATTTTACAAGAAAATTGATCATTTTCTCTATTGGATTGTCATCCTACAGCCAGGTGACTTTGTAAGGCTCTATAACCTACATGCTGCATCCTACATACCGCCCAACACGGCACCAACCAACCAAGATAACAATGACACCGACATGATTGAACTGGTCTTGCATCGTGGGACAGCGTACGGCAGGGGTCTGGTGGTCATGAAGGAATACGAAGAGGACGTCCGTGTCATGAAGAGGTGAGTTGATATTCAAATAGTTCATCCTTCCCTTGTTCCAGTGTTGACAGCTTCTCATGTACAGAGAGGTATAAAGGAAATGAGCCATGCTAGATGATAGTTAACATGCTTTTAACACAACTGCATTGCACTTGACAGTTTTTAAAATATTTTTGTTATTTGTTTTGTTTTATCTATTTAGATTTGATTGGTGATTTGATTTTTTTTTAAATGTAACTTTAGGTAATATGCAAAATATATTCTAGAGTACATCACTTGAATTCATATTGTACCTACATTTGTGAAACACAATGTGACCAAAGTTGCCAAGTAGTTATGATCCTTAATAATTTTCATGCTAACTTTATTAATTTTCAAGTTTCTGTGTCATTCTAGTGCTATCATGTCAGGGAAAAATTTATTTCTTCAACAAGTATTTCAAATATTGATCTTCACCATTCAAATATTGAAAAATGTTTGGAGAAAGTTGACAGTTGTTGAAATGTCTCTGGTTCTATGCATATATTTCAGCAGCAATTATCTAATGCTAACAATATTCCAAATTTAATCATGGACCAAGCACCATACTTAACCCTTGCACTAGCCCTATGCTTAGACCTAACTGTAAAACTAATCCTTAGCCTAACCCTCATACCAGACCTACCCTAAATTAATGTACAACCCTGATCATTGCTATTCTAATACTGCAGTGTTCTGATTAAAGTTGACAGCTTTTGATATGTCCCCGGTTCTTTGGATATATTTCTGCAGCAATTAGTCCTCAAGCAATTTTCTATGCTAACCAAATTGCTAACTCCAGCCTTGGACTAAACACCATACCTAACTCTAGCCCTAGCCTTAAGCTTAGCCCTTACTCTATGACTAAGCCTAATCCTAACCCTACATCTTTGACTAAATAAATCTGATGAGTGAATGTTGAAATTAGATTTTCTTTCCTCTTTCTCATAACTCAGGAGAATGGAAGAGCTGAGTACAAGGAAAAACCAGCCATCAAGTAATGGTCAAGGGTCATTGAATATCGGTCAAGGGTCATTAGATACCGGTCAAGGGCCACATAGTAGTGGTCAAAGGTCAGGAAGTAATGATATTGAGCTTGATAACCTTGACTGGGAGGTACTAGACTCCTTAGGAATGACTGATGGAGAAAGATCGACTCAAGGACAGAAGAACCCTGACAATGCCAGCTGGCCTAGCTCCTTCAACAGTGAGCAGGAGCTCCAGTGTATGCAGCAACCCATTTCAGGTAAAGTTTCTACCCCATGAAGAGCTTGTTAGAGGGTTATCCAATATAGCAACCACCTCTGCATGCAATGTGTTCATCATTTAAAGAAATTGTTAAAGTGGGAGCCCTTTGGTATTTTGATCAATGCTATCAAATTCAAATTCATTTATTTCACATCTCTTAAAAAATACAATATTAAAATATGCAGAAATAAACAATTTCAGAACAATATCGTACAGAAAATAGACAATTGAGAAAAGATGTGTACACTGTGATGAAGTGGGTGTGAGAGAGTAGCAAAGGCCATTGACCTTTCGAGGCTTCTCCCCGTATTATCATTCATCACTGTCACAAATCAAAAGTTACAATATACATGAATATAAGAAACAAATGACTTTCTCATGAGAGATGCTAAGTCCGCTCCTTGCTTGGTGCTTACATCCTTGGACAAGGTGTTTTACCCTTATTTGCCCCTTTTGACCCATGTGTATCGAATGGATACATGACATTGCTGGGGTCGTAATAAATACAGGGCCATTGAGAAGAGCAATATTAATACTGATGAGGCTACCCTGATAAATATGACAATATTATTGTCATTGCTGTTATCATTATAATATTGTTTGTGTTGCTTTTGTTCGGGAATTAGGTGGTTGTCTGATAACTGAATTGTTTGTTCAGTTGTTATTCAATTGTTTAAAACAGCCTTGTGAAATGTTTGTCACCTCGAAACCAAATAAGTAGTGTAATTAATGTAAATGATTTATCAATAGATATTTACAGCACTGTTCTTTCAGTTTCATTCCCTAATCAGATGTAGGTTAGGATTAGGTTGAGGTGTAGTGGTTCATTCACTTGACTCTCAACCCAAGGGTTGAAGTTTCAAATCCCAGCCCGGCACTGATGTCCTTGTTAACCACATTAGCCTCTCTCCACCCAGGTGTAAATGGGTTTCTGGTAATTGCTGCGGTAATAGTCAAGGCAGAGTCCACAGGAAGAACAGCATTTATGATGATGAAGCCTCCCTGGGTAAACACAATTATTATTATCATTATTATCGTTATCCTTTTCTTCTATGTCACTTCAGTCATCACAAGTTACCATGACAGTCGGGTTTCCAAGATAAAGCGCATGATGGACCACCCGCCTCTTCTATTCCGCTTGAAGGCTGCGGTAGTAGACTACTACCCTAGGACCATCCAGGACTTTGTACATCTTTTCTGCTCAAAATGCAGAATGAGGTACTGTCTTCTTGTTCATGTTCAAAAATTACTCTTTCTGTATTTTATCAACTTTATGAAAGGATTAGTCATTTAACTACTTTGGTATTGTTCATCTTCAAAGACAATATTGCATTGTTTTAGTTTTCAAGTACTGTATGAACTCTATGAAAATATCATTTGTTTGAAAGTTTCACTTTCGATCTCAATGCAACATCTTTACCTCTAAATTCAAACATACATATTACCAACACAGATGAACTTTCACAATCGAAAAGATCATGTATGGCACTGCAATTGAATTTGTGTAGAAAGTCCAATTCCTCATAATGTAATTATATTATTTGTTGTCCAGAATGAAAAGTTTTCATTACCATACCCAGTTTCAATTAAATTTTTGGATTAATTCAGATGGTACTAAGAAATTACCATTATATTCCTAGAGTCCCGTCACTCTTACAGTGTTGAAAACAAATGAGAAAGAACATTTCTTAAAAATGTTAATTAAATGTTTTATTTTCACTACAGGTAGTGGCATTGTAATAATGCTTTCTGTTTGATGTTTCTTTATTTGTAATGAAGCTGTAGGATACCAACCGCTAAGAATGCTGCAACCAATCCACCTCAAGATGAACAGTCAAGGTCAGACAAAGACAGGAAGAGAAAGGCAGAACAAGGGTTAGTTTGGCATGCTATAGAATTCTTTAATTGGTTTTATGACACCTGCCACTACGACGGTCGTTCTGCAGTCCTACACTTACCAAGTTCTTACCTTTGATCCTGGACCAAACACTCTCCCTTAACCTAACCCTAACCCTTACCCTAACCCTAAACCTAACCTAAAAACCTGATTGCAAATTTATACCTGTAACTTGTCAGAACAAATGATGGGGGACCCTATATTCCCACTGAGATATTTTGCACTTATCATTATGTGGTTTAACTAAACAGTATCCATACTACAGTATCCATGTTTATTGCTTCACTCAACCAGGATATCTGGTTTGATATTTTCAGATAGTATCAATAACAATTTTATTTTCTTAATTTATTCTAGATCTCAGTCTCCAAGGAGAAGTAGAAGGATCAGAAGGCAGGCGGGGGATTCCAGTGGTAAGTTGTCTCCCTCTCCTCTGCGAGAAAACATCTTTCAAACTTGTCTGTTTTAAACATCACTTTTCCAACGAAATAACTGTTGATGATCTCTAACAATGTTCCAGTATCTTCAAACAACAACAAAAACTCAACATTAATTTTGTTAGTACACCCTGTATCTTTGTAGAAAATATTCTAACATATGTATTAAAATGCCTTATTGATGTTGTTTTTTTAATCTCGTAAAACAAATAATACACATCATTTTGTTCGGGCATTCGTATAATTACCCACACTCGGTACCTTCAAAACAGTCCAAACACCCTCGGCTTTTGCCTTGGGCGTGTTAGACTGTTCCAGAGGTACCTTGTGTGGGTAATTCTTACTAATGCCCTAACTGATGTGTATTATTTGTATATCGATGACCTTTGTAAGCAGTTTATCAGGAACACTCGGGCATGTGTCGATATGTTAGATATGTTACAAGAAATTAACCCTATTCTATGCTTTTATGTATTGCAACCAATACAGACATACTGAAGCTTCAGAATGTCTGTATCTGTTGCTATTCTTTGATTTTGTAGTACATCTTTTTTGTATTTGAAACTTGATTTCTCTGTTCATTTGCTCCTGATTTCCATCATAGATTCTTCACCGGAAAGAAACCAAGAAAGAGAGAAAGTGACAAGACGGAAAGGAAGGCAAGTCACGACAGTGATGACCCCTCAAAAGAACAATGAAGGTGTTACTGCTCTAGCATACATCAAAGGTCAATATCTACTTGTACTTTCATTTTGTTTACATTTTATGGATGAAATAAATCTGTTTACTATAAGTGGCTGTTGAAAAATATGAATGCAAGTTTATGAGTATGTAATTGCACATATACCATATTGGACTACAAACACATTTACAAATAATGTTATGTAATTATTACTGAGGAAACAGCCATAGTTATGACAGAAGGCCATTTCTTCTTAATGATCTTTATATTCATCAAAGAACTGTTTCCACATTCACAAACCTTCCTTTTGCAAGCATATTAGATTAAATGTAATAACATACCCACTTCTTGTGTGCATGTTTTGCTTTATGCATATCTGTATTTGAGATGTTGCTGATGTAAGTGATTAAAATTGCTTTTTTTTCATCTCTGTTGATTGAAACTATTCCATACACTAAAATGCCATTTACTGATTATTAAGAAGTTAGTATAAACCTTTATAGTTTCTTTCAAAATACAACCTCATTACAATACTCAACATAAACAAGGATGTGTTTAAAACACTTTGACATAATGCATCAACAGTGGAATATTGTTGCATTTTTTATTTAGACTTGACAGTTCAAGAGAGTTTGACTCTGATGAAAGAAGGGATGGAGATTGGGAGTCAAAGATGAGCATGGTTTATTTGATTTATTTTTAAATTTGATTTTTTTTAAATATATATTAGACTTGACGGTACAAGAGAGTTTGAATTTGACGAAAGAAGGGATGCAGCTAGTGCGTGTACCCAAGCTCTACATGAGGGAAGCATGTCAGCAGAGTAGGAGTAGGGTCAGTAACAGAACACAGGTCTTTGTCTGTCCCACATGCTGTCCAGATCAACACCAAGGTAGGACACTTTTACCACACAAATCTAATAATATAATAATAATAATAATCTTTTAAAGTCCACTTCAAATTTGATTAAGTTAAATTAAGTTAAACCGAAAATGGAAATTCTATTTGCCCAATTGATCGTGAGCCTGGCAGCCACTGAGCAGCACCAGATCGACATTGCTCTATCCCTTTATTGTTGAACGCCAAACAAGGTAGCAGCAACTACCGTCTTTTAACGTCTTTTGGTATGACGCGGCCGGGGTTCGAACCCACGACCTCCCGGTTGTGAGGCGGACGCTCTACTGACTGAGCCAACACACCGGTATAAATCTGCTCCACTTTGATCAAAAGGAAGCAACTGTCATTTGACATCTTTGTGAAATTAGTGAAAAAACACCTAGAAATAAAGGGCTTTGTATAATAAGAGTTGAATGTATATTTGCATATACCTAAGAATGCCTGTTCAATTTTTACGTTCTAAGAAGAATGTAAGTGTTGATTTTTAACAAGAAAAATATGAAGTTTGTGCAGATTTGATGATTGCTCTCTTTTTGGCAAAGTATGGGAGAAATGGTCTTTTGTCTGTCTGCATCTCATTTCTCTCTCCATCTCCATTTCTCCTCTTTCTCTCCCTCTGTCTGCCTGTCTTTCTTTCTCTCTCTCCCACTTTCTCTTTCTTTTCATATTGCTTTCTCATATTCTCATGAGCTTAGTTGCTCTCTCCCTCTCTATTTTTGTAATATATGACTTCTTCACCACTTCACCATTTCATCTACCATTTTTGCCTTTCTTCCTGTCTTTTTCAATCTATTTCTTTGTCTTTTATATTATTATATATCTCCTTGTGTCTGAGTGCCTCCCTGTCTCTAGTGCTCTATCTTATATTTTCTTCATCACTATATCTTAGTATTTGTTTTTATATGTATTCTCTCTCTTTCTCTCTCTCTCTCTCTCTCTCTCTTTCTCTCTCTCTCTCTCTCTCTCTCTCTCTCTCTCTTTCTATCTCTTTCTATCTCTCTAAAGATGCATGTATATGCAAATATTATACACAGACATTGTTCTTTTTGTTTGCGTATACAGACAAAGATGTTGTACTTCTCCAGTATCGTTACTGGCTCAAATTATGGCTGCAAGATTCTACAGAGAAAGTAGAGACCATCTTACAAGGTCCAGAGGCTGTAAGTAAAACATCTATTTTGTAGTTGTTATCTTTAATTAATCTTAGCACTTTTTTTTTAACTCCATTTATTTGGCCTTAGAGCTATGTAGCGTCTTGGTTCAGGGGAGTAAAACACAAAACTAACTCCTTATGTCATGAAATATTTAGTGTATAATGTTCCATTTAAAACAAAACGTGTAGTACTCATGTAGTGTACTTATAACATTATGGATATGTTTCACAACTGATATTGACTATCCTATTGTTTATGTGACATTTGACATGTGACAAGTAGGGTACTGAAACATTTCGTTAAGTATAATTTTTACATCCAGATATGGTTTTTGTTTGTTTTATTTTTCATCAAAACTGCAAGAAATGTTTATGTTTTTAGTCATAAGTATGTAAAAACTAGGAATGAATCTTATTCATTCCTTTTTTCTACAGAAATAAATAAATCAAATCAAATCAAATCAAATAGATTTTTATCAATGTCTCTTTCTCCTTCTCTATTGCTCCCTCTCTCCCTTTCCCTCTCCTCTCTCTCCCTCTCTCTGTCTCTCTCTCTCACACACCTTTCTCTTTCTCTTCTCATTTTTCTTTCATTCTCTCTGTCTCTCCCCCTCCCACACTCTCTCTCACTGCCTTGGTTTAACAGGAATTGTTCTTTGGAGTTGCCCCTATCAATCTGCATGTGAACCCAGACAGCAGGCTATCCATAGCTGATAAGATTGGAAGGCTCTGTCCTAATCCCGGTGAGGCCGAACCTCAGGCGAACCCAAACTTGGATTGCTGCATAGAGAGACTAGTCACCATCAGACAGGGGTCACGTAAGGTCATGTATCATATACGAAATACTCAGCTGGCATTGGATGTACAGTAGTAAGTGGTGTGTGAGTATGGAACATGAAGGCATTCATCGCCATGGTAACATAAATAGTAGTTTGGTTTTACTTTCTGTTTTGAGGGCATTATCGTCACAATGGCTATGTAGTCTATAGCTTCAGACTCTGATAAAGTTCCTATAGAGCATAATGTGAACAGAAATGGCAACATGGAAAGATTGGACCGATTGTCTGTGTGATTTGTATAGGAACCATGTAGAAACACACCACCTAACTCAAGTAGTCTTGTCATCAGACCTCTTCACAACATCTTCTAGAGTTTTGTATCTGCTTGATGAGAGTCTTGAGATAATGTGAATCAGTTTGGTTGAACAAATCTACATAATTGTTAAAGTAACGAACTAACTACAATAAAAGACAACATTCTAACAATTGGGAGAATAAGATCTGCACACCATCAAGTTTAGCTAGTCTTTATCTACTCATGCTCATGATATTGAGCAGGTAGGCAGGGATGCAGGACCATATTTCATATTATATACCTCACTTAAGTAATCCAGCCATCTGATTGGTCGAAATCGCATTCATAAACTTCAACTGTTCCTGTAAAATTCCCGGTAACCATGCTTAAAACATTTAATATTTTTAATAACCATGGTTATTAAAAAAATAGGTCAGTCTCCATGGTTACCCCATAGGTTTACGTGTTAAAAAATGGTTTGAGCGATGGAGGATACCGTATGTGTGCGAATAATTGGTCGGTAATTTCAATACAATTGAATCTCGATCGATCTTACCGACAATTTTATCTTGCATTGTTGACATGAAGACGAAAATAAACTTCCAAAAACAAAAAAACAACATCTGCCGATAGATCTTGATCTAAGTTCGTGCCAATATGCATTGCAAAAGTAAAAGAAGAGTCCGTATATGGAGCTTTTGCGAAGCATTCATCACACGCGAAGCCGGTTTCAATCCATTTTAATGTATATATTGTACAAAACTGCCATGCATGTTAATAACGCGCGATGGCCGAGAGGTCTGAGGCGCTGACTTTTGTTACATCTCCTTTTGTACGCAAGAGTTCGAATCTCATCTTCGACCAAAAAAAAAAGTATTTTTTATTTTTTATTTTTTAGTCTATTTTTTTTCGGCATATAAAAGTATTAATGACTGCTTTAATATTCGAGAAATAGTTGTTTTTATACGCTCTCGGGAAGGTTACAATTGGGCTATTCCCCTCGGCACGCCTCGGGTAATAGCACAATTCTAACCTTCCCTTGAGCGTATAAAAACAACTATTTCTCTCAAAGCAGTCATTAATACTATAAAACAACACACACATTTTACAAATGAATGCAAAAAGTGTCAGAAAAATGTGATTCATAAACAGGAGTCTTTTGTGGTGCATATGAAGTCCACAAATTGTAAATGATAAACTGGCTATCAACTTAATATACAAGAAACATGAATGTTATAAAGAAATTATATACGGCCTCTCTCTTTTCTTGCAAGTTTTGCAAGTTATGTGAGTCTTATCTGATGGAGACGAGGAAACTTTTCTTTTGAGAATAAAGCATGTCAGTTCTTTTTTAATAAATTTTGAAACCCGTTTTTTGTAATGTTTTTACAAATCAAATGTTTTCTTTGTTTGTGTTCACATCTACAATTTCTGTATTCACGAAAAATAGTCCTACAGGGGGTCACACAAGGTCATACCTTTCTATTGTGAATGTGTGGCTCATTCATAGTGAAAATCACAAACTATCTAGTAGTAGTAGTAGGACACACAGAAACTTTCTATTGTTAATAAATTATTCTTGTATCTTCCATTGAAGAATGATAACTTCTTCAGTCAATGCTATCCCTATCAATCAGAGCTCTTAAGTAATATGCAGTTAATATTCATATATTTGGAAATGTATTATCATATCACTATAGTGAAGAATTAATCTGTACTTTATTCAATGGTTATGGAGCAAAGAGAGGTAGACAAACATATTCATAATTATATAAATATGTATATATAATCATATCTAGTAGAGGTAGAAATAATTTTTCGAAAATCATATTCTGATCCTAAAGAACATAAATTTCCTATTTAAGTACTAATTTATTTTGAAATTTCACATATCCAGATGACAATTTAAATGACAGGAGTGTTTGTTTTTAGCCCGGTTGATTAGATAGTCTTGTCACTCAATAAAAAATACTTCACTAATATTTTATATCACCATTCACAGTCATTTTCATTGAATATTTGATGGACTTCTATTAGAAAATTGCAGTAGATATATGTTTATATAGAAAAATATCGCATTAATTAACTATGTGTATTACAATAAACTGAAGTTGAAGGTTGTTCTCCAGGATAAATGCCACACCACTGCAGTGCTTTGCCCCATTTTGATAATTATTATGTACCGTATATCTTTCATGGTATTCATCAAATCGTGGTCCTTTACCGTCTTAATATCATATGTTGATACTTGTACAAATAGATGTAAATATATGTATATATTAAAGTACTTATTTACGTGTATTGAATTTCAACAAAAATACCTGTTTGCAGTCTTTGTACAGAACCTCAGTCTCTCTCTCTCTCTCTCTCTCTCTCTCTCTCTCTCTCTCTCTCTCTCTCCCCTCTCTCTCTCTCTCTCTCTCTCTCTCTCTCTCTCCTCCCCCTTTCTGTCATTTACAGCACTTTTGATTCCTCTTCATGTGTATCCTTCACTGTCTCTCTCCGTCTGTCTCTCTCCTCCCCCTCCCTCTTTCTGTCGTTTACGGCGCTTTTAATTCCTTTTCACGAGTATCCTTCACTCTCTCTCTCTCTCTCCGTCTGTCTCTGTCTCTCTCCTCCCCTCCCTCTTTCTGTCGTTTACGGCGCTTTTAATTCCTTTTCATGAGTATCCTTCACTCTCTCTCTCTCTCAACAGAAGTTTTTATTTTAAAACTCACAAAAATGAGGTGAATTGCTCTCAAAAGAGGCTCCATGAAATAAAAACTTTGCTTGCCAACTAAGATCATTTTCAGTGAATTGAGCGACTTTTATTTGATTTGTGTTTAATATCAAAGTGGAAGACATTCTTGTGGGTTAAATATGTAGTAAATCTACCATGACTAAAACCGTATTGAAAGAACTAATATAATGACCTGCCTAGACAAGACTGCTACATGTACCTTACATGAGTTATATTATCTTGAATTCAAATTATCAGATACAAGAGACTTTATCATATAATTCCCTATTCACACACATAACCTGAATATGGAACTTCAGAAAGCTTTAAATTATAGTTTGATTGCCAGATTGATCAAATACATTTTGATATACCAAAGCTGGCATAGCTTGTTTGCAGTATATTTACTTCAAAAATTGTATTTTATGTCATGAAAAGTATTGAGAATTATTCATATGAGTCTCATAAATATAATGTCATTCAATTTTCATGAATGGGAGCATATACAAAATAACACAGATCAATTTTTGAAGCACAGCATAATATACTTTTATGTATTGATAAAAAAGAATGAGAAGTATTTTAAAAGCCACCAAATAAAGAGTCGCACAAAGAATATATATTATTTGCAGCCATTTTGATTATACCCTAATCTTATATACCAGTGAAAGCTGAAAAATATATTATATCCACCAAAAGGTGCTCAATATGATTTCAATTTTGCGGACAACAAAACATAATGCCAAACATATCAAACAAATTCAATAACTCAAATACCAAGTGATGACTTATGTGGTGAAAGAGAACAATGACTGTGTGTATATATATATATATTTAGCACTGGTCATACAGGTGATAAGGTATTGTACTGCTACTACTGTAAATATCAATACCCAATTCTATCATGAAACATGCAGGATAGTGGATATATTTCTGATATATACATTCCATCTGCATAGTTAATTTGAAAGTTATATAGTCACCTCCTTAAGAGAGGAACAATAGTTTTTTGGAAGAAAACGAACCTAATTTTCCTTTGTTTTACTTGGATGTATTTCTCATCATAATTACAGACATGTGAAATGTAACACAAAATCCTGATATCATATTTTCTATGGAAAAAAAGAAACAAGCACTTCACGGTAAAATCTAATATTCCTTTGTATAAAACATTTGTACAATCGGTATACATACATATATATAACTACATGTATATACACTATCAAACGACTGATTTCTTACAAATCAACAGCAAGGAAGGCAATTAAAAATGTCATTTGCTCATAAATTGCTTTGTGCCACAGCTTTAAATGAAAATTGCAAAAAGATACCATCTAAATAAGGCTGTCTACTTCATTTCATCAATAAAAAAATATTTAAAAACCGTCAGAGATTTTGCAATACAAGTGCATTATAATATATTTAAAAATAGATTTCTTTTTGTAAAATGTTCATTGCTGGGTATCAAGCACATAATTAAACTCATTAAAGTCCCAATAGTTCCATAATTATACATCATGAAAACTAGGGCTTCATTCATTTCTTTGAATAAATAATCCTGACAATAGTAAATGATTTACACCCAATCTCTTACATGGCAATTTTTTTTTGAATGAGACTAAGGTCAAATTTTCTTTTCCATTGAAATAACTAGAACTCATTGATGTGGATTATCTCCGTTCTCTGTAATTAATGGTTCTATCCTTTCCAGTCTGTCAGGTCCTTAGCAATTCTGAGGCAGAAATTGACTGTCTCTACTGCTAACAGGCATGACATTCTGGAATTTGCTTTTGTAATGTACTTTGATCTAAATAACATCAATTAACCTGTAAAATACGATTTGACTTTGATGTAGGGTCCTGCTAGAATAATCTTGGTTTTGGTATTCAATGGGTTAAGATAAAAACATGACAAATCTCACTCTTATGTTAAACTATTGAAAAGGGAAAAAATACAAATGACATCATGTCTATATAATAGCACCATACTATTTAGTCTATGTATGTAACTAATAAGGGACTTTCAGTGCACATATACATGTACAAGTGGGAACAAAATTTACATGATAATATAGTGTTTGTATAAATAATTGCACAGTGAGCTTGTCTGCATGATGACAAGAATTACATAGAGTTTACCATCTTCTCATCTTTAAATACCTTGTAGATATTCAAGCGACCAGCGCAATCATTTTCTTAAAAATATATGTTTGAATATGATAAACACAATGAACATTAGCATTAAGTAGTGTTTCAAACTGACAATCTTAGCTTTTGACCACTAAACACACCAAAATAATGAAATATACGTTGTAAGAGATGACACAAGTGAAAACAAACCAAAAAGTATGAATGTGAAGAATATTAGCTTAGGACTAGGATAATAGAGAAATATTTCTTGTATGTTTCGATATGACTCCAATATTAATCTCTCTTGAAACATTTATGTATTTGTATCTCTTCACTAGCAGGGAAAGGTGTAAAAAATCCTTACAATTGAAACCTAAAATAAATGCTTTTGGCTAATTGTCTTCCTGACATTTTTCATGACAATTAATATTCTTTCCCTATCAAGAAGCAAATGAAAAGTATAACAAGCAAGCCAGTACTGAACCCCTTCTAATAATGCAACTCTACTCTGGACTAGTTTGACATAGAATTTTGTTCCTATATAACATACCGGTACAAAAATCTCCTAGTTTCCACTATATAACTATGAATATTTACAAACTGCAGATGTCCATTTTATACAAACGAAAGTGATTTTCCAGTGGAAACATGTTTTTCTACATAGCAGATAGTTTAGTTATCCTGATAGTCACTACATAAATACATTTAAAGCTAAACAAAGCAGGATTTATAAGTACAAGACTATTTATAATTCCAGTAATTTGTTTCAATCATTCAATACAGTGCTGTCTAGACCTTAAACTAACAATGGCATACTATTTGATCCTGAAGCATATGTGATGTAACTGGTACTGATCCTCCCACTATGGATTTAGTAAAGAAGGATAATTCCCATAGCACCACTTGTTCATTTCTGTTGATCCTACAGCACATCAAATTCAGGAACTTGTCTCTCTGCTGATTAATCTAGATGAACAATAGTTTCAGGGGTCATTCCAAGAAAAACAGCAAGTCCGTCTATTTTTCATGCTGACCAGCACATTAGGTTCAGATATGTACTCCAAGAACGCCGTTTCCATGAAAGTCATCTCTTGACCTTTTATCAATAGTGATCATAAACCAGGGCACAGTATATAAGTCTTCTAATAATTTTGTCTTCCTGAGCCTTGTCTTGCTAGATGATCAGAGTTTGGTGTGGAAGCACGAACAGTACATTGCATTGTCAAGTCTCTAGAGGTCGCTGAACGACTATACGTTAGGTCACAAGTCGGTGGAGCTTGTTCGATTATTGGATGATGGATCAAGAACCTTTTGAAGTCCTTCATGGAACACCAGCAACCAGCTGAGGAGGCAAAATTCAGAAATAAATATGAATTTAACATCATTGATATTTGAATTAGGCTGGTGATATATGTACATCATGTAAATTGCCTTTTCTTAAAAAACAACACAGCTGATAGTTTGTAAAAACTAAAAATGTCTCTGATACCTCACAAAAAACAATGAATAAGACCCGACACAAACATTAGTACAGGTGTTTATTGAAGAAAAGACAAATGCGACTGCGTCTCCTAGCTACCATATATGCTCCCGCCCTAAATTCAGTAGACGAAATGGATGAAATTATTTGTGAGATATCACAATGCAAACAACTTGTGGTTCTTGTGATTCCAAAATTTGACCTCTGTGACCTTTGAACCCAAAATCTTCTTACCATCACCAAATTTCCAGACTGACTACGATACTCACTTGTATTTGGTTTCCTTGTTATCTGCTGCAAAGATGAAGCTATTGTCTCCTTCGCACAGCTTGAATGCGTAGTCTCTCTCCGTGTGATCTTTCTCTTCCATCTCAAATGCTCTGTAGAGCTTGATGGGAAGGGTCAGCGCTGCTCGGACGTCCTGGTTAGAAATAATCATTGGAAAATCATGATTTAACTAAATGGATGTGATTTGATCTTTAAAATAACAGACGTTTGATACATATAGATATTTGACATTTTAATCATAGTGGCTGAAGCTTAATGTACTTTTATATTACTTTAACGCAGTGTCCTCTGTCCAAATATACTCAACTGACTGCAATTATCAATTACATATCAAGGTTTTGATAATGGTACTCCTGATTTTAAGTGTACAAAAAAGATATAAGTATAAAGTGACCGAATAATCTACATATAATCAATTGTGCCATACAACAAATCACACACATACTCATCCTTTATTCAGAAATACATGAACATTGTGTATGAATACCGACAAAATGGAAGGAAAAATGCATGAGTTTGTCTATTACTTGACATTGCTGGGAAGTTAAACCAAGGCTTTAATATATCCCCGACGCCTGGTAAAATAACTGACTTTAATCATGTAATATTGCTTTAATGTTTGCAGCAGCTTTAAGACGATGTCAGCAGTGGGATATCACCTGCATGGACCCTGTTTCATTAAACCATGCTATCAATAACAAAGTTTAATACTTGTTATAAGCTACTAAAATCACTGTATTTGATCGGTTGAGAGGAAATTTATCGAGGAATTGTGGCAGGGGTTGTTCAAAGTAAGTTTCATGAAACAGGACCCAGGCCTGTACTGCAAGATATCGTCTGGTGCCAAGCAGAAGAAAATGAATGGATGCATGGACAAAAGGTGTACCTTCCAATAATGACATACCAGTACTCCAAAGTTTTCAATTGATCATTCTTTGGCTTTATTCATGACATAAATGTACATTTCAGTTTCTACATCATTCAAATTGTTAAAGGGATTGTTTAACAATGTTAAATCTGAAATGCACGGCCCTAAGTGTTATCAGTGTCTGTGATATGGTATTGAAGCCCTAAAAATGATCAAGAAGTGCCTCAAAAAAGTACAAACCTTTGAGTGACTGGTTTTACCATACTCGTTTTCCCCAATAGACTGTAGTGTTATGAACGCATTTTCAATCATAAATATCTTGATAATCAGACAGGCGATCGGCTTGTAAAAGCCATGGGGTTCCTGACTGACCTAAAGGTTTATAATTATCATTGCAGCATGAGCTAAATCAAGGATTTTTTTAAAGGATCTAAGACAATGTTACCGGATCTCTTTAATGCTGATATCATTACTTCAGCAATTAGACTATACAATTACTTTGACATTAAAAACTAACTTAACAGTTTATACATTTTAAAAATAATGTTGAAAGCGCCTTTATGTCAGGCACATGATGATCTGTGTGTAAATGCATGAGTAAGGGTTTGTCAATATTGAGGATGTGTACCTTAGGTGCACGTAGGGCAAAGAGGTCCTGTTCTGTGGCTGCTACCCAGTATCTGATCCAAGTTGATCCCTTAGGTTGGAAGTACCACAGAAAGCTGGCAAACGACTTATCTTCATTGATGTCTACAAAGGACTGCAAGAAGAAGGAAAAAAAATGACATCAATTTCTTAGACAAATGACACTTCTGAAATATGATTACTACTTTAAGATAAATAGCAACTACTTTGCAGATAATGGCCTGACTGCTTGACATTGTGCATGTAGCCTATGATTATCAGAATAACATGCCATTTTAGTGGTCAAACTTGCTGATAAAAGAGTCTACAGTATTACATACATGTTTATCAACTTACTAAAAGCTAAAGCACAAAAATGTAAATGTCAACATATCCAAACTGTCACACATACCATTTCTATCTTCTATTAACCCAATGACTACTGAGCTCTTATATTCCCCATAGGTTTAGTACAGGAACCACTCGGTTTTAGTAGGCAATGTGTGATAACTAAATAGTTTATGATTTTCAAATACACCTCAACAGTCAACCTCAATTAATTAACAAGTAAGAGATATCAAAAGTTGTCACAGAAGATAACTTCAGGGGAAATGGGATGTTCTTTCTGGGGGGGGGGGGATCTCTGACCTAGGATACATACCTTTCTTGATGGTTCGATGGGATCTTCCACTTTCTTGAGTATATTATAACATTTAACGCACACTCTGTTTGCTTTGTTGTCATCATAAGGCAGATGAGCATTGTAGCTTGAGCACTTACCACAAACAACCTGAAAGCAACATAGAAAGTCAATTGATGATAATAACAATATAAAAGATATCATATTTAAAATTCATTTCACGTACATACATCTATTAAGATGCAAATGACACCTAAAATGTACTCTGGTTTTAGCTTAAGATTTACCAATTCTGAAAATTTATCTTATACAAAACACATCCTACTGTGATTCACATATTTTGTTACTCCTGTTTCTTCTTAATATCTTGTCTGAACATATCAAATTTTATAAAGAATAATTGGTGTGTAACTATATTTTTCATTTTTAATCAAGTATGCAAACTGTATCAGATTTCTAAATTCTATTACAACTGATAACCATACCTTATCAGGCAATATAACTATAATGAATTGAACAGGAATACTCTTCCCCACCAATGATAATGGATATTCAATTTTCTGCAATGATTGACAGACATACAGATATAGAATCAGAGACACTTATAGATCGGCAGACAGATAGATAGATAGATATATAAATATAAGATAAGATAGAAGATAGAAGATAGATATATAGATAAGATAAATAAATAAAAAGATAGATAGATAGACAGATAGATAGATTGCTAGATAAATAGATATGGATAGGTACAATGGATAGATATATAAATGGAGAAATATATATGAAAAGATAGATGGATAGATAGATTGATATATGGATAGATAGACAGATAGACACTTACGGCACCACATGCTCTACAATGGTGTCTTCTCCTTGTGAAGTTGAAATCCAGGCCACATTTCATACACATTGTAGTTTCATCATCCTTCACTAAGTTTGGTTGTGTCTCTCCGAGAGTTTTAGCATAGTCATCCTGTAAAAAAAAAATTATTCAATAAACTCTCCATCAGTTTAACACATAGTGATATGTTAGAACATCAAATATAAGTATTTCTATGATTTCAGTGATAGATCCGGGGGGGGGAGGTGGGTGTTTCAGAACTCAATCTTGCTCTCTCATAATCAAAGGCCTTCTCCACACATGAAGAGACAATATGCCCAAAACCATAAACAAAAACAAACAAAACAAAACAAGAAACATAAACCATGCAGCAAAATAAAATTACATGAATATACTACACTCTACATATCTATATTTTGTAACACAGAGAACGGGAATATGTGTAGAGGACTTTGTTGCATGCAGCTTTCCCCCTAATACATATAATTGTTCTTATTTTGCCTCGTTGTTTTCATGTTTTCCAGTATCAATATTGATCATGCCCTATACTTACATCTCTCTCAGAGAGTGTGGTGCTTGTCTTGAAGGAATCCTTTTTCCTCACCATTTCCTTGATAGCTTCTAGTAGCACCTGGCAAAAGAAGAAGATATGTTATTCATTAGGTTACCAAAATTATACGTCACTTCTATACAGTATACACAAAACATTCCAAGATTATATGCCACAAATATCTTGAAATATGTATGCATAACATGTATGAATTGTCTATCTAAAAAGCCTTCATTTAACAGGATTAGGGATTACTTTATATTTCAGCCATTTCCCTCAGTTTTCCAAGTATTGCTTACTTGAATCATCTACAGGTATTGCTGCATATTTTACACCATTTGCAAACCTTCAGAGACCTTCCATTATGGGATGTACCGGTATAGCATAATCTAATCTGGAAAGTATACCAAACATGTATTGGCCTCCCTGATCTCTAATGATTCTATTCACAATACTGTCAGAACAATGCGCCAATTTATCCTTTGGAAATTCCTGAGAATGCATTTTGATTAGGATTTTTTAAATTTTTTTTTACTAATGTCTCTTCAAGAACCTCAAATCATCAATACATTCATGAATCTATGAGATGAATATAAGTAGAATTGAGTTTTATATATACTCACAGCCATCCATTCCTCTTTCTGCTCGTCAGTGTTAGTTTCAAACTCCAGAGACTTGGGAGATCTTTCCAGTCTAAACCTTGTTGTACATGTATTACCATCAAGAAGCTGCAGTAAAAATAAAGAACAGAGAACACCTGCTTTAGCAATCATCTGCATAGAAAGACTTCCTGTCTATAAATACAGCATTAATTCTGTTTCCTTTAAGCAATGTTCTCATTCAATCATGCACTATAACAAATAACCTGTAGGAACACCACCCGCACATAAAGACTCCTTCTTTCTTGTGCCCTATGTACGGGATTCACTTTACTTGCAGGGACTTGGTTCATTTATTTCTAATTTGATGTTTAATAGAGTGATTTGATTTCATAAATCAATTATGAATACCTCATTACAATTTTACTAGTGATTTATGAAGGTTTATGCACATTTCTATTCTTACAGGTATTGTGTCTATTACATTCAAGAGACTGATTAATGAGAAGAATGAAGATGTTCGGCAGACTCGATCTACTTGGTCATTGCCAATTTAACATTCAAAGGCAAAAACTTGTAACTGTTTAATCTTTATAACTTGTGATGTTTGAAAGTTAGGTGAAGAAGTGAAATGCTACTCACTCGATCTTCTGCAGTCTAATTGAACTTGAATTACAAAATCATATTTCTATATAGTTCATTTAATATCAAGAAACCACTATAATGAAACATGTATCTTCAAACAAGTGGATGTATTAGTACACTATACAGGGAAATATATGGAGAGTTTTTATAATATACTTACATTAAACTTTTCTCCATGGTTACATTAGCTGATCTCCTTTCTTACACCTCAAACTTGTTTTTCACTTAAAGTCCATTGCAATTGAATATCCAAGCTATCTTGTATTTACTTCCCCCTTGCGAATGCATATAAAAGTGCACCAGAATGTCAAATGTGGCAAGCATTTCCTGCTATTGATACAATCCCATTTGCCAACTGGCAATTACTACATACCAGACAACTGACTGCCTTCCTGATCGATTATGCTTTCAAAGACAAAAAGGACATTTATTTTACGTTGATGCACAGAGAATATGGTGGTCATATGACTTACTTTGACTCCATCAATGTCGATCTTGTCTTTGACTTTGTAGCTGACGGACCCGGTGATTTGACGCTTTTGAGTGCAGCACAGCAGGATGTCATTAAACTATAGGAATCAACCAGAAAAAATTAAGTTTGGACAAATAATGATATGATAAAACATATTAATAGAACAATAAAATCAGAGATAAAAACTTGAATTGAGTTATAAAACCGTAACCTTAGCAATACATCTATAACACAAAAAGAACCATAAAATTCAGCAATAAAACCGTACATATTAGTATATTCTGTATAGCTACAATTTTACATACAATGTCTGTATTATTAAAAGATCATTACTTCACTTTTAAAGTTACATCACTTTGGGTTTACCCCTGAAATCCAGGGCAGTCATTAAGGGGTTTATTTATTTCCTTATCTTGCCGGAAAAGAATGCATGTAGAAATAAGTACAGGGAAATATTATGAACAAGGAAATAAAAGAGAGAAAGCAATGTTTATGCTAAGAACACTGCTTATAAATTGTGAGTGTATTAACACTGCAGGAACAGGGATGTTTTAAAGTGATCCAACTCTGTAAGAACCCTTGTGATTTAAATTGACAACACACAGTTATCCACGCAAGTTCACTACAAAAAAAATCTTAGTTACATGTATTTGCCTTCATCTTCAACACCTAATTGTCTTTAGTCTCTTCATTTGCTATTGCTTAAATAATAAAGGAAGGTGGATAAATAAGCATTATAAGTAAAACATTTACCCCTGAAAGCACTAAATTTTAAAAAGTTTGTTTGTAAACTTGGAGGAAAATAGTGGTAAAAAGAAGCTAGAGAGAGGGTTGGGAGGAATTGACATTATGCTCCAGCGAAATTTATCTATTTTGTAAAAAATATAGGGTTGAAGGTGAGTTTCATATTTAGGTTTTAGGTTAGGTTTGCAGTTAGTATTACAGTTACAGTTATGGTAGGTAAAGTGTTTGATCAAGGATTGAAGTTAAGAATCCAATTAGTGTAGGAAATGATTATCAAAGCAGGAGCATGTGTCATAGCAATTAAGAGTTTGGAAGAAAGGTGAAATAGACAGAGTTAGAAGAAGGGTCTTACCAAGAAGAGATATCTGTCTAATAAGTCTCCGCTCCTAGCCGCTACTCTTGTGATCTTGCCTTCCTTGAGCAACCTCCTACTAGGATCTATGATGGTCTCTCCGTTGAAATCTATCTTCTCGTTCAGCTTCATCAGCTTAGCAAAGTGATCCTGCATGTCAAGAAAACAGTGAATATTATTAACAATAATAATGTTTGATTACTGCAAACATTAGAGAAATATAAAAGACATTGTGAGAGTGGTACAAAGGATAATAGAAAACACAAAATAATATGGATGCTTGTTATATTTGTGACCAGTATGTACCTATATCATTTAACAGATAGTATACTATACAAAAATATATCTTCTCGTTTAGCTGTACTAGCTAAAGCAAAGTGATCCTGTAAAATCTTTGAATGAATTTACAGTAGAATGGTATGGTTCTTTAAATAATTGCATGTACTTCCCTTGGAGCCAAGGAAAATATTTATCTCATCTAACTTAATTAAACTGTTTTAAATTTTTACTGATTTGTACTAAATTACCCATGCCCATGAGCCCTCCCCCCCTTCCCCTCCTCCCTCCCATGGTTTCTCCTCTTCTGGTGTTGAATATAACAGACAGTATCTGTATATACGTACACCATCCTAAACTCATCTGCCCTACATAGCTGAGATTCTCTGAAAAAATGAAGTCATTAGTCATGTCCGCTTTAAGCCCCCCTCCAGGTCCTCTTTTACACTCTAAATTTAGCTAGCCAAGCGAGAAACGTTAATATTCTTACTCTTCTTATCACTCCAACAAAAAGGATTTAAAAACAAGGATGAAGAAAAAAAGACAATGAAAGGAAGAAGCAGTTATCCAATTACCTCCATGTCAGCTCTGTTTTATCAATCACAGAATTCCTTCCTTCCTTCCCCTTAAAAATAATTTGAAAATGCAGGGCCATCGAGACAAAACAAATATTGTAACAAAGGTCTCAATTTTCCAACATTCAATGTCGAAGTAATGCCAATAACCCTGTCGCTAAAATTTAAATCTTTTCTGATAAATAGCTGTACTAATTTCTTTGCCTCCATTAACAAAAACGTTCACACAATCAACATTCAAAATCATTATCCAACTGCATCTGCATAAGGTATTATACAGATTTTGGAGTACAATACCAGTTATGTAGAGAAATGAAGTATAAAAGTCTGCTTAATTTTCAGTTGTGAATGTGTCCATTCTATTTGTGAGTCAAGACAGGGTGTCAAGCAGTTGAAAGATGAATTAGATTAGCCTTACTGGCTACGCACAGCAGAACCTATAGAGGATCGTTGTAAAATATCTGTGCAATATTTCACACCATTCTTCCACTAATCTAAGCTTTAAGCAGTATTTTGGATGTTGATTTGATTTAAATTGAATTTTGTCAACATTTTGATTCAATTCATATTATTTCAGAGCTCTATGCTACAGTTTGTCATTGTTTGTCAACTGCGCCCTGTCTCTCTCTCACTTTCACTCTCTGTCCGCTCTCTCACCTATCAACAAGATACATGTAATATCTATAACTTGATGTTCTTTACAAATGGATTGATATATGGATTTGTCAATGTGAAGGTGAGATTCAATGGAAACAATTTAAATTTTAAGTAAATTTCATTGTTTTTTCATCAGAGGTATTTTTTAAAGTTTTCCACAGCTTAATCAATGATTGCTTCACTATTTTACTGCCCCTAAACTGAGTTAACATCTGCTCAGTTCTAACAATGATTACTTTATCACTGGGGATGACTATTTTGACATCATCCATCAGTCAATCATTCAATCCAACAAATGTTTGTAACATTACGCCACATTCCAACAAGCAATGCCACAAATTAGTTGCTGATGTTCCACAGCACCTCTCCCTCTCTCTCTCTCTCTCACCCCAACCTTTTCTTCTCTTTCTACGGTCCCTCGTCAAACCCCCCAGGCCCCCTGGCATTTCCTTTGAAGGGGGAAACTCCCTATTTCCTCTGCCTGGAACAAGAAAGAGAGGACAGAGCAAGTAGGGTTCTCCGGATGCCAGTTTCAGTAGACGTTAACATTAATGCTTTCCTCCTGCCTGTTCCATATGGCTAGATCAATCCTTGCCTGCACCTTCCCTCAAATGACAAGATAATTTATAGTTTTCACGCATTTTGGGGGGTTGAAAAGTAGCCTAATTCATTTAAATACATGAATAATGTCTGAGGTAAGTTTAATTGGATGACTTAACAAAAAAAGAAAAAAGTATGAGTCATCTGTTTGGAGCCAGAAGGACATTAACCTATGTGTAAAAGCATACAAGTTAAATGCTCTTGCAGCTCTACACAGAAAATGTACTCATTGCGTATAAAAAGAAAATGGGAATTTTGAAATGAGCGTGCATGTAATCAAAATATAAAAGAAGAAGAAAAAACAGAGTCTGGAATCATTTTCCACTTGTCATTATAGACCTCGTATTTGTGTCTTGCTCACTTCCTTATAATGTGGTCACACAATGGCTTGTAATAAGAAACCGAGACAAGTTTGATTACCAGTAGTAAACGAGTTAGACCATATTGAGAGAGATAGTTGTGACACATGCATCTAAACGTACGGGAGATGGGTCGTTAAATCATGTTGTTTCAAATAGTTCCCTAGCTCTCACATACGATCTCTATGAGAGGGAACTATTTTGGAGCCTAATGAAATGCCTGACCAATCAGAAGCAACTTCCTGTAACGTAACTATCTCTCTCAAGGAGCTATGAACCGAGTCAATCAACTAACCATTGTCTGCATCGTATCATTAGAATGGTGCGCTGCTTTGGAAATCAGACCGAGAGCCCCTGAAAAATAAGCGGGAAATAATCAAAACCATAAGAAGATATGCCAATACAAAGCTATTCCAAGACTTTAAGCATAATAATTTGGAGAATACACAGGTATTTACGTGACACTTTTAATGATAATGATATAAAAGTGCAATTCATATACAGTTGTATCATGACATGAAATAGAGAAATGAGAAATCAATGAACTTCGATTTGTGTTTCCTATTAATTGAGATAAAGATGTCTGATAAAAATATATGAGGAATAATAACATATTTCCTCATTATAATCAATCCCATTCACTTAACATTTAAAATTGCTCTTCTTTTTTTTCTTTATATCTTTTTTTAATTCAGCATATCACTATTCAAATTATTAATTTGAGATTCCCAAATGCAACAAAACTAAAATATATTTGAAATACTTAAATGTTTGTTATCACATAGTTGGGAAAAAACTAAAAATATGTGGACATGGCATATATGTCAACTAATTCCCTACCATCTTGAAATGAGCTGGAAGGAATTAGAGCCTTCATATATCTTTGTACCCTTTAATACTTGTATGAAAACATCCCTGTTCATCTTCACAAAAATTGACCTAGGGTTCTTGACCAGCAATATAGTCATAATTAGTCACTCAGCATATATTCTATAATTTTTTGTCTCACTAGGTTCCCACAATAATTACTTCTTTTTAAATATTTATCATTTTGTCTCACTCTCAGTTTCCTAGAGTTGGTGTACAGCTTGAGCTGAGCCAAGTCATTGTATTACTAAGCAAAAAAGCAGTAGAAATGATCACAAGCTGATAGCTACTGTGTGTAAACATGTGTTCAGTTCCTTGACAGTATATCACAGGATTTATGGGACTCTCAAGCAGGTTAACAACGGATATATAGTAAATTCTATTGAAGTCCCCATGGTACACAGCTCTAAGAATAGCAATGATTTATGTTAGATATTCCAAAAATATGATTTTATTGTCCCCTTCAGACCATTGTGACTTTATCAGATAGATTTTCCAGATTGTGATTATTTCTGGCATCAAACGATGATTTTTATTTTTTGGGCCAATGCATGCAGAATACAACACAGAGGGGAAAATGACCGTCAAAAACCAACTTCAAAGATTTAAAAAAAGTATTCCGTTGAGAGAAGCAGCATGTCCGATATATTTTGACACATAGCAGCTAGGTCACAACCTCTATGGCAACAACGGAGGTAATGAGTTACGCAACATTCAAGGAACTGTCCTTCATGATGTAAAGATGGGGATTAATTATTTAAGCTATGCGATGACCGGCTGGCCCAAGCTTACCCATTTTTAATCCCTAGGATTTCTCTTGCACTTTTCATGAGGAATACATAAACACATATCTTTTAAAAAAGCAAACATCTAGCAAGATTTCACTTTAATAGTACCACGAGAAATAACTTACTCTCTGCATCTGTTCTATCCACAGATTCCGCTGGTAGCTTCTTGAGGTATTCTGAAATTAAAAAGAAATAGATGTTTGATATTTAAATTACTTGATCACATTTTCTCTCTTAAAGTGAAGATCTGCCCAATAACCTTTTTTTTTAATTTCATAGAATTTAACAAATGTATAAATTATTAAATTCCATGTAGCCATCTAATTTACTAGCAGTAATGATAAGAAATTGCCAAGATAAACCTTATCACTTTAACATAAATATCATCAGCTTTTCAGTTAGGCATACAAATTGAACCAAATTAAATACCATTGATTAAAAGCTCTAGTGGTTGTGATATGTGTATTTGCACTGTACATTGTTTGATGAAATTGTTTTTATCATTTTACAATGTTCCTTTCCAATAATGGGCATATTGCATGATAGGTACTTTTTACTTACCACACATCCAGTTGTTTTTTGAGAAACCTATAAGACAGGAATCTTTAGTATAATCTACTGAGTGTATACACAGTCATTCTTACTTATTAAACCTAACCCTGGGGGTACATCAACATCATAAATTAAATGTTATATACAACTCAAAGATTAATTGCATTCCTACCTTTGAGTAAGAGTTCATATCTGGGTATTCTCTGTACAGGTTCCAGCATGTGATGCTGAAGAGTGAGAAACATGCAAATAGGCTTTTTCTGAAAAGAAAAAAAGAAGAAGAATTTTTAGATAATTACATCTTATTGATGAGGTATTAAATCAATGGGAAAGGCCATTCAAATTAATCAAAGGACAATCAGTTTATGTATTCAATTCAATCACTTATAGTCTCATTAATAAATGTAAAACTGCAAATATAAGGTCCGAATTGAGGCATGAAAATCAATCCAAATCTTATTCAAAATCATTTCTATTCATGATATTTTGACAAGGAGGTACCATTTGCACAAGGAGAGTGATGTGACAGTATTTAAATCTAAACAGGAAATTATTTCTGTTCATCATACCAACACATTTTTTTCTTCTTTTTAAAAATATAATTATTGTAAAGGCATCGTTACTTCATGTCAAACAAAAGAAGTTGACAAATCATCATATGAGAATGGCATTGAAGAGAGCCATAACTTAAGTTTTTCAACTGCACTCATCAGAGTAAAACGCAAGAATGAAACAGAAAGCCGAAATCAAACAATATAAACGGAAACTAAAAGGAAACAAGGCGCAAATATAACGAGTGCTGATTGGCTGTCAAAGGTAACGGTAACTTAGGCTTATGCCAGCCGTTTATAACGGGAAATCGCTAGAATCATGATATAATTTAGAATCTACTGTAGCTGAAGCATGACTTACATGAATCTTCATCCAGACTCTCCATAGAGACAGGGATATTCAGAAGATGGGTCATAAACATTACCACACAACATATATCAAGTGTTTTAAATCAGGTACCTGAATTTCTTGTAGTAATGATGCAAAGCTTGGTATCTTGACCATCCACGTGTTGAGGCATTTGACAGCTTTGTCAAAGTTGCCTACATAGTCCGTGTAGAGCTTGAGGAAAGGTGATAGTCTGACCAGGATGTCTCCGAGACAGGGATTCTTCTCCCTGGAATCAAACAAAAATGCGAGAAGACGACTTTAAACTCACTGCCCATTATTATCAATCTTCTGTAGGAAATTAGGAGTGGTCAACAGATTTCCCTGAATTACTTAATTTCAGGCAAGACTTCCCTGATTTCTTCACAAGACAGAAATTACTGAATGGTGGACTGTATCTGAATATATTATGCCAGAGGGATAGGAAAAAAATAATTCTGGTTTACACAATTTAATTCAATTTTCCTTGATGTGCTTTGACGTGAAAAAAAAAATCAAATGAAAATTGAATATGTAAACATCTTCTGATAGATGAATGTAGTACCGGTAAGTTGAAATCAACTCTTCTTAATACTTTAATATCTTGCAAATTCAATTAACCCCTTGTGATTGAAAAGCAACCTAAAAGAGGTTGAGTATAATTTTTCACTAAGTACACGCAAATTTGACCTAGTGATATACACATGTTAGTCCACTGGATATTTTATTGTTTTCCTATCTGATATTATCATCCCAACAAATAACCAGACCTGTGGCAAATAAGAATCCCATGATAGATTTCCAAGTATTGGAATACAGAAATAACACCAGCATCTTGACGCCCTGTCCCCTGTTAGGTGCATGTGTCATCGCTCTATGGCTGTTGCGGTTTCTTTTCAGCCATGGATACTGCTAAATAAGGTTAAATTGTTCTTCCTTCTTCTCTCCTTAATATAAATCTTGGAGGGAATCCATCAATCATATCCATTTCCCATCATTCCACCACTGGCTTTGGTGTGACTTGTGTGCCTCTAATGCCCACTTCATGCAGACCACCAAAATTATTGTATGGCTCTACAAAAATTGTATACATATAAAATAAGTAATTTTTTTCTTTCTATTCTCAATATTGTATGATCGTTCGTATGTGTCTCCTTAGATCAAGATAGTTATGTAAAGTTCCTTAATTAAATTAAAATTAAATTATGTTCTTTCATTAACAAGGGCCAGGTCTTCATCTGTGCAACCCGTTCCGCCGCATGTCATTGTTGTATAGCAAGATATTTGTAATTGTTTTGTAATGAATATGAATATATGAATATACATATATGTCTTTTTTGTTTTGTTTGTTATAGTATGTTTTTTTATATTTATATTTAATTGTATGTTAATGGGCCCCATTTACAAGCTTTGCTTCTCAGGGGTCTATAGCCTGTCACCATGTTATAATTGTACCAGTATATATACCAATGTGATTGTAAATTGTTTTTAATGATTGGCTGAATAAATTGAATTGAATTGAATTGTATAACAAAACATTGTACAGTGAAACATTTTGAATGAAAACTTGATAATGAATCAGGGTCCGGTGATTGTCTGAATGATGTATCACATGATATCTGGGCATTGATGAATCGCCATGTCAACTAACCTCTTCAAATCTAGATTGTTTATATGATCTTGCTATCTAGTGTGTATGCCCCTTTCACTGTGCGAAGATTCTTTATATGAATCTGATCGGGTTATAAGTATCCCTTCCGATCACAATCGTTCACAAGCTTGGCTGTACCTTGATTGGAGTAAATTGCAGAGGCTCAGGCTAATTAAGGGTCCAACATTACAGTCACCATGCAATAGGGCTATTCTTAAAGTAAGAGCTATTCTTCAATTAAAAGTGATTATGAGGCAGCCATTATAGTTTATGAGTTAATTTGCATCAGCTCACCATTCATCATTGTGATTGATGGAAATAATACAAACAGAAAATTAAACCCTAACATTTGAACATAAATGTATCCAATGGGAAAGTAACATTTATATGGAGGCACTGGTTTCAGCAGCGTATCTAACAAGTCATTAGGAACATATGAGTGAGGAAAATAAAAGGTGAACATTAATAGTAAAAAACTGTCATTTTCACCTTAAAAAATGAAGCAACAAAAAGAGTGAGTGGACATCAAAATGAATAAAAAAATATTGAATATGTTCCCTTAGTGTTTATGAGATTTTTGAAAGTTATAATCAATTCCCTATGTTATTTGTAATGCTGTGATTCATTGCACAGCTTGTTTGACTAAAAAGAGTCAGAGTTTGGCTCCAAAGAGATTAATTGATAAAATGGGGTGGAAATACAATTCATTTTTAAACTCCCTCCTCTAATTAAGTCCATATTAGACTCCTAATTTATCAAATCTCATTTCCTGTTTCCACATCAAAACACCTAACGCAATTACCGCTATTTAATAAATGTATTGAATAAATCTATGTGTGACATGCATGACTTAAGTGAATATTTCAGTGACAACAGAATTGGAGAAAAACTGGACTTTGTACTAGACATATTGAAGAAGACACACTATGCATTATCATGTAGAGATGTTGCATATAGTGGCATGTATTAGAATGTGAATATTTTCAGGTTAGTTTGTATAAATACAAAGCTGAGGAAAATAGAGACTGAAGTTCCTGGTTCATGGTTTCAATTAAATCATTAAAGATCATAATCTAAGAGATGTATGTTTATAAACCACTTTTGACAAGACTGATTGACAATAATTTTGTTTAAATATTTGCACAATATGTGATAATTTTATAATATCATGACCTTTTATATTTGCACATATCTAATGAGTTGTCTGCACAGATGGCTATAAAATCCAATCATATACCGTACACTCTCAAATAAAAGCCACGTGAGAGAACATGTTCCCACTATTACAAATTATAATTCTTTTAATGCATGACATAGTTCCTTGATGTGCTGAAATGTCATGAGATACCATCTGTTTTTCATGGCATGTTCTGAAAGCAGAATTGTTGAAATGCATGTGCATGATTTATTTTCCTAAGAGGGGGGGGGGGGGGGGGAGGTGGTAGACAGCCATGCTCAAATCAATATCACAACATTTTTTAATCTGGGAGGAGGTAATATCATATACCTTAGGATCATATGATAACATTTTATGTGCACCATAGAGAGAAAAACATGTTGTTTTTAAGTTGAAAATAAGAGCAAGTTGGGTTCAGGAAAAAAATAATCAGGATGTCTAGCTACTGGAACAGGAAGTCCAACAACTGTCACGCAGGGCCCAATTCAGGTACCAAACACCAGTCTTAAAGGGACAAATTCTGTTGAGGGAAATAATTTACTCTTTGTGATGAGAATGAAATAGGTAAAAACTATACTGGGAAATAATGTCAGGAAATTGTTTAAATACGAAATCTACAAATCATAAAGAATCCATCATAAAAACAAATAATTACAATTTTAAAGTTCCTAATCACACATACATTGAAAAACATTTCAACAATCTCATATTTAAGAATCCATAACATTAGGAAACGGAATAGAATAAAAGAAGTAAATATGAAGCTTAGATTGTATTCCTTTCCGCAATACAGGATTCCCAAAACACAACAATTTACTTTCAGCATTCACCTCATCTAAATGCTGAACTTTCACCTCTGAAAAAATAATATGTTTTCCATAAAGTTTAAAATGAACTTATCTGTATATCTTTCTGTTTGATAATAGCTTGTATGTCAAAGAACTTTGATATACAACCCAAAACTGTGCACTAATTAATATAATGTTTGACCTGCAGTTTCCTCATAAAGCACATTTTAATTCACCTCTGGAAAAATTGAGTAAACTGAAGTATCCATCACTATTGTTACAACAAGTTCTTTACAATACCCTTTTGAACCCATATCTCCTAATATTCTTGTTTTCTCAAACACAGTACACAATTCCCCTTGATCAGATATAGATTCAGACACAGACAAAATCGTTTGCATTCATGCTGTTCAATCATCGAACCTCAGGTCGTTATCATATTAATCTATGCCCAACACCTTAGCAATTCATACTGTGCAGTATGATATTTCCAAAACAAAACAATTACTGGCTTACATTAATCTAACAGTAAGGGTGAGTTGTAATTAGTTTTATAATGAATCCTGGCAGAGATATGCATGTTTATAAAGGAAGTTTTCAATAATCTAAGTTAATTAGGTAAGTTATTCATGAAATGAGAGCAACATAGGGAACATGGGAAAGGTATCGTAAGACTATCACCTACATGCTGCAAAAAGAATACCTTGACATACATAAGAATTTGTTTTTCTTCAAATTTTGAAATTGCTATTTGCTTATTTAATATTCCTTTGTTAAGGATGTCTAAAAATCTATTGTGAAAGAATTTATTTTTAGCTGAAGATAAGTGTGAGAACCAATTGTACACAGTATGATATGTCTGATATAATTTCTGTTTATTTTTAATGTCCCTAAACAGGTTATGAAATACAAATGAAAAGAAAAATAGAGCATGCCGATCTTTATGACACAAACAAGTACTTGATTAATGCTTTGTGGCAGCTCTAGTATCTGACTAATATACATGTATTCACGTGTTGGCATGTAATTCTTGAGCTTCATTGTTGCTTTTTTCTGTCTTTATATATGATCGCATAACTTGAAACACTCGAACAGACTTCCTAACAAAGATCTATCAACAGGAATGGGTTGCGTGTATGAAACCACTTGCAGCAATTGAAAGAGTTATTGTAAATTCATATATTATGATAGAAAAACACAAAGAAAGAATAATACTTAAGAAATTAGATGGGACATTATGAAAGTCACTCGACTTAAAGCATTAAACATTTTTCCATGTTTCCAAAGGTGACAATATATCATAAAATAGAATATAATTTTTTTGAAAACAAAATTATTCTTCTAAACATTCCTTACTGACATATTTGACATTGTTTTCTCTTAAAAGTGTGAGCCTGAACAAAAATGTACTAATTTCTTGCTGAATTCAAAGTGATCAAGTACATAGGCACATTACTAGCTCAACTAGCCTGATATTTAAAAATAATGTTCTTCTATATTGGACCGCCTGCCAAATATTTGAACTTTCCATTGTGAGTCAGCCATTTTGTAGGTCATGTGGAAAATCAGTCTGGAAATGTCCTAGCTTTGAATGAACCAGGAAAAGTAGAATAACAGAAGATTCACTGCTGCCATGATAGTTAGGTAACTTTGCTTGACAAACAATGCATCAATTTATTTTTTAATTAGTGATGAGGTTCATCAACTTTCATATGGGGCAGCATGGCTGATACACATTGCACAGCCTCAGAAATTCTATTTTGAAGTGCTCTACTCTGTCATATTTCATTTATGTTGTTACTTAGTAACTTGTCTTCATAATTGTACTTCAAAATAAGAACCTCCAAATAATTTATGAATCTTTCCTGTTGCCTTGAAAATGGTTTAGAAGTTAACTGTGGATGATGATCATAAAGCATTAAATATTTCCTCTGTTGAGTTTTTGAAATCCAAGATTTACCGAAGAAAGCTCACATCTTTGGTAAAGAGTCTGCAAGCAGACAAGCACAAAGTTGCAGCGCACATAGTTATTCTCTTCTCTTACTGATTTTCAACCCTCAGGAGAATACCATTCTTGTACACATTATTCAGACAATGCTTAATACATTATAAAAAATGGATTAAAAACATTGATTATGTCTCACCATTCCTCCATCCTATCTTCAAGTTGTGTGAGTAAGAACTTTTTGTGGAACTCATAGATGGTACTGATGTTGGAGAAGATGATGTTGATGACATCGTTGGGGAACCATTTGTGTTTGCTGTTTCCAGACCTTATCTTCTGTTCGAACACCTATATGATAGAAAAAAGTATACAAATTGTTCATCATGATAATTCTTTGAAGAAGAAAAAAAAGCTCATGGACCATTTCTCTATAAGGTCTCCGACAGCATATTTTCATGAGTAATTTTGTTGCCATGTCCCAAACAGGCAGCTCTATATATGCTAAGGGTTGTTCCCAAGCATGTTCATGCATACATTTGGTCATGTGACAAATACATGTTAATATCCCCAGTACCAGTAACATGAATCTGCAGCAAAACTGATACAGCAATGTCGCTCCCGCAAGAGTTTGTCCTTGTTAGAAAATCAACCTTCAAAACATAATGAAGAATCTTCTATATCATATCTTGGAAATGGAATCACTTAGCAGTGCAGTAAAACCAACTGATAATTTCATTAAACTACAATATACATTACATGTTTTAAAAGTTTTCTCATCTAATGATATTTGTATGAACCTCCATCAGATGTCCTCATGCCCCCCTTCCCCCTCTCTCTCCCTCTCTTCTATTCTCTTCGTTTTTAAATTCAAATCGATAGCGTTTTTTTTTAATTCAGAAAGAGAGAGCTAAATAAATTAACCAACATCTTTTGGTTATAACAAGCCACAGGCTCTCATTAATGACTGACAAATGTAATCCAACACCACACATGATGAAAACATGTTTACTGCTATGTGGCCAATGTTCTGAAACAGAGACACCTTTCAGCATGGATTACCGGTAGAGAAGATAATGTTGAGCTGATTACAAAACCCTGTGGCAATAATTCTAACCACTTGGTTATCATCCCTACCCACTGTCACAGCTCTCTCTCTCTTCAAGTTCAGAATTATACGATATATTCCCATGATAGTGCTTATTTGGGGGTTTCTGACGTAGTTTCTGTCATTGACCAGATGTTAACCTCACAGAAAAAGATGAGGGCACTGCAGACACTACCACAAAGTTCTGTAGTAACCCTTTGATAATTAGACATGCTCTATTACCACTAACCCATACCATGAGGGGAATTTGAGCGGGAGTTATATACAGCTACTAGCAATAGATCAACTTTAACAAGGTTTGCTTCTGATTGTGATCTATTCCAGGTATTCCCATCATACAATTTACTTTCCACATTAACATAAAGAAATTTCCTTTTTTTTTGCTTTCTGCAGCAAATACGCAATTTTTTTCCTCTCATCGTCGTATTTTGCAGTTTTGCTTACGCAGTTTTGGTTGTAGCATTCAGTGGCCTAAAAATCCACACCAGAATATTGGATTCAGTTACTGAATTAAAGCATGTCCTGTACGTACTTAGTTGGTGACATGCTAAGTTGTCTGATACATTTTGTCAGGAAATACTGGATATCGGACTAAGCATCTTGCTAGAAGGAGAGAAAGCCGGAGAAGTTGTGGTTTCAGTATCTGTCAGGAACCTCTCACACTTTTTTGGTTTTTACGGTTGGTTTGGAAACGTGATTGAACAAGTCTGATTCTAGAAGACAAAGAATTTCTCAATACAAAAAGGGACCACAATTCTAGGAATGCTGAATAAAAATAAAATCATTACTTAACAAGCTTTCAAATTTCATTATAATTATAACAAAGATGAGTGGAGAGAACATTGAAAGTTCAGACCAGATGATGGGGGTGGTGGAGATGCTAGGTAGTTCAGCCAGGTCACTCCATTCAGGCAGGGGTAGTGAATAGTGAGCTGAAGGGTTGGAAGTATAGTTTGCAAACACAAGGTCTTGTCAGTCTGAAATGGAACAGAAGGTCTGAACTTCAAGACTATGTAGACTGCACTCCATTGGCCCTGCACTGTAGCTGCCATAGACAAACCAGTTAGGCTAGGCTCAAGTCTTTAAGGGATTTGTTTGGGTGCAAAATAGAGTATGTGCGTGCAGACTACTAACTGTTTTACAATCGACAAAGGCCATAATCTTAACTCTGACGTAAAACTGCATCAAGGAATAAAGACAAGGAGACCTGAATGCTGATTGTAACATAGTTTTAAAGATGACATCATTGCTTTTTTTAGCATCACGCCTGAGGACTCTATTGGTAATTAGGAGGGGCAAACGCTTGGCACACACAATGTGCGGAAAACTTAGAATGCATTTTATTACCTTCACCACGACCCCTAATTTACTGGCACAGGCACGGAAAGACGTATGCTTGGTTTCAAAACGTCACAACATTTTCCTATTGAATTGAAACCATTTCCCCTGACTTAAACCACCTTAAATATTATGGTAATAGTTCTAAATTTTGCCAATCTAGGCAATAATGAGAATATTCTTTTGTCAAATGGTATTATTCACTCAGTTTAGTTGTGTTTATTATCAACCATATCTGGAAGTTTGCTGATTTTGTTAATTACATGTATATAACTAAAAAAGGGCAAAACCTCTGAAATTTGTCATTTTAAGAATAAGCTACTTAATGCACACATAAAATTGTTGTGAAGAGTTATTATAACGAATTGGCTTTTGATTTGAATATGAAGATGTTATCATTCATCTGTGAGGTTGTTTGATAAAAAACAAACTTTTAACTTTCTCTTTTGTTGTTCTCTGACACAGATGATTGACTTGCTATTGGTGCTTTGTTTATTCTACCGGTAAATCAGGACTACAAATATTGCACAATGAAGACAAATATTACAAGAAGGTTTTCATTTTCACTTCTGTAAATCACACCACGACTATCTTAAGAGATCACTCATTGTGGACATTTATTATGACCCAATGATTTATGTTTAACAAACCAAGAACAATTGAAATTATTTTTTAAATGCTTCTTTGTTCAATGTCTACACTGGTAAAAGAGTCAATAATTGATGTTAAAATGGTATTTTCCAATTTATCAAGATCACAATAAATTATGTACAACTCTGTCCTGCATACATAAGAATCATTAATGAATAAAAACAAAAAATTAAATTAATATGTCAACAAATAAATAAAAAATGAATGAACAAATATATATATATAAATATAAAATAAAACCAGTCAATCAATAGACATGTCTGTATATCAATCATAACAGACTTATACTAAATTGGCAACAGAAGTTGAGATTTTGTTCTTACCTTGTGCAATAAATGCAACCTGTCCACATACTGTCTCTCTGACGTCAGCACTTCATAGGCCACTTTGTGACTCTGATTGATAAAGGTGATGGTTTCCGCTGGTCTTTCCGCTGGTCTTTCCTGCAATGGGAAGTCAAGAATCATTATCTCATCTTGCGTGCCTCATATTTACCCAGCCAAGGAGCACTATTTATAGTGAAAATCTTCTCTTTCCTATCCTACACTGTCTTACAAATCATTAGAAAGGAACTGTAACCATGTGATACCATTTTACAGTTCACTTTCATATCTTATTCATAGTATATCTTTAGCAATCATAATCATTTAATGGAAATAAGGTGAAGGTATTCTGAAGCAGAAGGTAGTAATAAAATGCATTACCATGTATTTCTTGATCATAAATTAAATCTGCAACGTTTTTTTTTTAAATTTCATCAGTACGTGGTTTTCCTATATCATTCACCAACAAACAAATTAATTAAAATACTCCTTATCTACCCTCACTGTTCAACTTCTATGATTTATTTATATTCTTACTTATCACCATTGCCATGACATTTATAGGCTTGGGTGTTATATCTTGTTTTCTCCATAGCAACAGGTCCTCAACAGCAACAGGTCAATATAATACCTTTAAATGTTATTGAGTCTACAGGAAATACCCCTGTTTTCAGTGACCTTACAAACATTGAGATGATATTATATCTCTAACTTGAAAAATGTCTTGTCTATTTTTCTTACACTTTACCAGGTCTGCTATGAATGCTCCTAAATGAATTACTTCACCATCTATTACAACCATTACAAACTTATTCAGGATGTATGATCAAAACCTTTCATGGATTTCTCAGAACTCTTCTCCTTGAAGATTTCATTCTCACATTTAAATAAAAGTATACAAAAAAAAACTTCATAATATAATAATAATAATAATAATAATAATAACTAGAAATTTAATTCGTCACGAAGACGAATAAGGTGGTCTGTTTTCAAGTCTTATAATAGATTATAATATTTACTATATTGAAAAAGGGAGAAGTTATATCGACATGTAAACAATGATGATTATGATGATGATGATCATGATGATGTTGATGAGGATGATTATCATCAATATGATAATGATGATGATCATGGTCATGAGCGTGATTCTGACATCTTATCGGAAAAATGAGGAATGATTTAGATAACATATGGTCTCAGCGACAACATACTAAAATTTAGGAGAAAACTGTTGAATAACAACCGAGATACTGGTCAAAACACATTGTCATGCAGATTCATGTTTTGAAATAAGTGACCTCCCATAGACATAACACGCAAATATGACAAATTATGCATTGTCGCCTTTAATCGAATATTTTACAATGATGACGTCATCCAAATGAAAAATAAATGGCAAATTTCTGGTAGAAAATTATCTCAGCTACAACATATCAAAATCTGGGAGAAGATCGATGACCGATAAGTGAGATAATCTCAATTAAACAAAGACAAAAATGACGTCATCAACAAAATACATTTTGTTGAGGTTAGATGGCAATATGTTGACTTTGTTACACTTTGTACGAGTCAGGGTGGTATGAAATCATATCTCCAACTCATGCTTTCTCCAACTATGATATAAAAATTGGGGGTCGATGGACTATCTGAAGAGCTATTTCGATTTATAAAGTAGCATGTTTTTGATCAAATTTACATTATATTGCCCATAGCAGCACGCGCGGAATTTGAACTTTGACGCGCGCTCACGGCCTTATGAAAGGTCAAGAGTGACTGAAATTAATGTAAATTGTCATTTACGGTAAGAGGAATCTAAATCATGTAAACATATTGAATTTGACCTTTTCCGCGCGTTATGAGCGCGCGCACCGCGCGCGGGGACAAGTACGGACGGAAAATTTTGAAATGCTTAAAATGACCTGATTCGTACTCTTGTTTAATAGTTAAGTGATTTTGAGCAATTTTAAATTTTGACGCGCACATACGCGCGCGTCATGACCTTTATGTGACCTTTGATGACATGACTTGTTGACCCTTGACCTGAAGTATATGTGATATGAATATGAATGACCTTTGCCTAGGCATCATGAAGATATGATGGATAACGTGATTTCACAAAATGGCGCCTGGATGACGTCACGATGACCTGATGACATTGAAAAGGTTACTGTCACGTCTCATGACAATGACCTATGACTGTGTCAAAATTGAAAGAAATTAACACAACCGATCTTGAGTTAACCGATGAACAAAAAACGGGGAGAAATAAAAATAAATAATAATAATAAATAAATAAATAAATAAAGAAAGAAAATTCTGACGAAAACAATAGGTGATCTGTTTTCAACAGACCACCTAATAATAATAATAGCCTAATAGTCCACTCCAAATTTTATTAAACCGAAACGGAAATTCTTTTTGCCCAATTGATCGTGAGACCGGCAGCCACTGAGCAGCGCCAGATCGACGTTGCTCTATCCCTTATTGTTGAACGCCAAACAAGGTAGCAACAACTCCCATCTTTTAACGTCTTTTGGTATGACGCGGCCGGGGTTGAACCCACAACCTCCCGGTTGTGCAGCGGACGCTCTACTGACTAAGCCAACACTCCGGTAAAGGAAGAAGTGTCGTAGTTGAGTGGTTTGAGCACTTGACTTGACACTAATGTCCTTTGGCAAGGCATTAATCTTCATTTGCCACACTCAACCCAGGTGAGGTAAAAGGGTACCTGGCAGAAATTAATTCCTTGAAATGCTGCTAGTCTAAGGCCTGGGTAATAGAATTTCTATATAGAAGGTGCTATATAAATGCCTATATTATTATTATTATTATTATTATTATTATTATTATAATTATTATTATTATTATTATTAGGTCATATTTGAAAGGATGTTTCCTCTAACATAGATAGTAGATACTCCAAATTTTAAAGACAGAACATATATTTTATTTGGGGGAGGGGAATGAGGTTATCATTCTTGTTAAATGTTTACAGACAATGAGAAATATAACATCATGGACCTTTAATACTGACTAACCTCTTTCTGTGTGTATTGTCTTTTTTTTCTTACAATGGAGCATGTTGATAAATTCGTCCTTGTTTTCACGAAGTGACGGTAGTGAGAATAATCGTAACGCAAAGTGAATGCAATTTTTTTTCACTACCGTCACTTCGTGAAAACAGCGACGAATTCATGTGATAATGTTAAACACATATAAGAAATTGACAAAACATTACAATACACCATGTGCATAAGGAAAGACATGTCTGGCTTTACATGCCAAATGCCGTGAACCATATGTCCCACTTCAAACAATTATCCATTGTTATTTCTAAAATCTTCACACATAACAGAAACCAGTAAGTAAATGATCAAGCTATGCTAGTTTTCCTTTGTGTACGGACTAGTGCACTTTAAGATTATACTGCCTTCATGTAAAATAAGTATTACATTTTGACATATTATATTTACATGTAAAATTTACTACATGTACATGAACAAAACAATCATAAAAAATAATGACATAAAATGAAATAAATAATTGTATGTTGTTTACATATTAACTTGTATTACTGTACCAACATTCCTTAATTTCTTATATTTTTACTATAAAGATTTACTGTATGAACCTTGGGCACTCTGATACAGACTCCATTATTCAATCATACTCTTCTTTAAGTATTCAGGAAGAGTGTTTGGAAAAGCTTTGATCACCTAAGCTGTAAGTCCATGGTGAACTTATTTATACAGAGCTTTGCTTATAAAGGTGCAGTTCTACTGTCAACAGAATTACCATTCCAGATCAAACACTTAAAGAGAGGTGGTGATACATGTATATTCTATTACTTTCTTTCAATGAATTCTGTGAGTTTCACATACAACATCCTTATTACCGTACACAATGGTTACCTTGACATTTTGCCCAAAAGAAAGACTTCTTTCTATTTTGCAATCAAATTATCATTATACTATTTGCTAAAAAGAAAACAAAATATTGTAAGGAATGATTGCATTTTTAATTTAGTATCTTCTCTACAAAACCGGAATATTAAAAGTCTATTTCTCAGTTTTCATGAAAATAGAGAAAGAAGTCAACATTGTCTTAAATAATTTACAAATTATTGTTAAGTAAATCTACATTTTGTCTGCTAAGTGCCAGAATAGTATTAAACCCATATCATTTTGCATTGAGTTGATGCTCCGCTAGCTCTCAGCAAATTGTGTTATAATCTACCAAAGTACCGGTAATGAAAAAAGCTGAAGATTTGACTTACCTTTGACTCAAACTCTTCTTCACTAGGATCAGGATCAGAATCTGTAAATTCCCCACTATACGTACTACCATCCTCAACATAGTCTGAGTCTATTGACCCTGTCTTGTCTAATGGGTCCTTGAATCCACTGGGCATTGAGGCCCCTCTAGAGGATCTCCTGTGTTCAATCGTGATAGAAATCCCTGAATCGGAACTTAATTTTGATGAGTCTTGCCCTGAAGAGTTTCTTTGGATATCTAGTTTGTTGGGCGAGAGACTCGATGCAGAGTTCTTCCCACCCCTTCTATCCTTTTGCCCTTTACCCGTTACTGTAGTCCTGTCTGATTCATGAAGGTCCACAACAGCATAATGTTTGTCACCGTTGTTCATATTCTCATTCGATTCAGATCTTCTCCTAAAAAAAAGCTTGCTAACCCCCTTGGCTCCTCCACTGCTGCTCAAACTACCAGAGGTAGGACTGAGAGGATCAATGGACTTCATACAACTGATCGGCTTCGCCATTTCTGGTTTCATACCCAAGAACCGCTCAAGGTTTTTGCTCTTTGGCTTTGGCGAAAAAGTTGCAGGATCCTCAAAGCACACCTGGTCGTACGTCCTTTGGTCTTGAGAAAGATTGTTGACTCTCCTTGTTGCATCAAAGGAAGCACCTATGCTCCTTGCCCCTGTCAGTGGCAGCTTGCTTTGTACCTTCGGGCAAGTTGTGGTTGTGGTAGTGGTGGTGGTGTTGGTGGAGGCTTTACTTGATGAAGAGATGCCCTGTTTATTGTTATTCAACTTGTGAGCCAGATGCGTAGGTTTCCTAGGAACTGGCGGTTTGTTTCTTCTGGAATCTGAACAAAATAATAAAACAAATTTAATGCAGAAGATATTGGAATAAAATTAAACCAAATTGAATCAGAACAATGAGGTGCACTTCCAGTTGGCATGCTGTAATCAGGGGTTAATATCTATGGATGTCATCCAAATCAATTTTGGAATTTCTTTCTTGAGGACCTCTTTAACATTCTGGACATTTTAGGAAGAAATACTTTATGCAGTTAACATGGCCCCCAGAATGAGAGCCTTAGTCTTAGAAGATATAGCACTTGACCATATATGCCACATACATGTATCTATAAGTCGATGTTCAGGAAACAACATATACTTTACTTTCAGACATACACTCATGGTATAATTGACCCAATAAAAGACGAGTCTTTTACAAATACACAAACATGAGAACAATAAAGATAGTTTTACTTGAATACACATCAAACCTGTAAGGAATACAAGTCATCATGGAAGATTTTTCACTGCAAACATAAATGTGTATAATGTTGTGACTGAACCATGTATCATTGATTATATTTAATCAGGGCATCATGATCAGAGCTACCCTCGTAGCTCATTAACCTCTTGATGATTAATCTTCAAAATACTTAAACGGTCTTCAGCAGGTTACTAGGCCATATACTGTACTTCATTCACACACTAGCACATCAAGATATAATGCATGCACACTCCACACCAACAACCAAGAGTTCTCTAGCTTGTGTTTCCTCAAGCTGCCATCAATTAAAAAATACACTTACCAATATTATTTTCCTACACAAAGGCACACATTACAACACATATCCTCTGTGACTGATTCTGCATAGTACGTCTTAACAAAAGACACATGACAGCTTTCCTGCTCAAAAGGCCATAGGATATGGTCCCTAAAGCAGACTTGCAAATCAGAAACCAATGGAGTGCCACGCAAAATAACTTTTCAATTCTGCTATGAGAGAAAGGTCAGGCACACTACACACCGAGGAAAGTCAAGGCGGCAGTGGAAAATATATCAGATTGGAGAGCATCCGTCTCAAACCTTTTTACCACATGTTGTGTGCACTTGGCCGTATTAAAGGAAGAGAGCAGTAAAGCTAAGAAAAATACAAATGACGAGGCGTGAACCTAATTAATATATGTAGGTGTAAGCCAATGGTTTTAGACACTTACCGAATTTGAATAATAAAACAGAGGTATACATTGTGTCTACCTTATAATAATGTAATGACACCCACACAAATGAAGCAGACTGTACAAAAAAATCTCTGCACTTTGCTTGAATTTCATCAACTCCTATCATTAAAATAATGTTTGAAAAATATATAAGCTCAACAGACCTCTTATCACCTTCAAAATATATGAGGCTTCAACAATCTGAACATATTTTGCAGTAAAGTCATATCACATGCATTTATAGCTAAAATAATCAAGATGTTGTAGATGCAAGGTTGCAGCTTTAAAGCTCAATTGCTTCTTTAAAATATATTATTAGCTTCTAGTGAAGTCTAGTTAGGATAGACTTCAACTGATATCAGTTAAATCTGTTTGCCAGGTTCAAGTTATCACAGGAAAGTGGTGACATGGTGAATAGCTTGTCAGCTCCAATGAATTACCAAAAAAAAATGTCTGTCATCCTCTTTTCTGGATATTAGAAGGGTATTAAAAACTGACAGATAGACAGAAGATAAACAAGACAGAAAAAGAGAGAGAAAGAGAGATAGAAAAAGAAACAGAGGTAAGAGTAAGAGGTACAGACAGAGAAAGAAGAGAAATAAAGAGATTGGGACAGAGAAAGGAAAGAAACAAAAACAGATAGAAATAGATAGGGAGTTAGGAGTTGAGATATAGTGACAAAAGAAAGGGAATCAACACAGATAGAATGACAGAGATAGAAAAGGAAAGAGATATAGAGACCGACATACAGAGAAAAAAAGATAAACAGAGATTGTGACAGAGGAAGATAATGGCAGAAACATTGAGAAAGAGAAAGACTGACAGAATAAAATGGGGAAGAAAGAGAGAAAGATAGAAACATAGCTAGGGGAAAGAATGACAAACAGAAAGACAGACAGACAGACAGCCAGACAGAAAGAGAAAAAACAGAGCGACATGAACAGAGACAGAATACCTGCTGCGTGGTATACTCTGTCATTTTCCTGAAAGGAAATATGTCAAATCACTCCATGTACTCCTCCTGTTTATACTATGTCTAATTTCATCAAGGAACTTGGAAATGCAATGCAGTGAATCATCATTAAATTGCTGATCTATGAAAACAATGAGAATCCAATATTCCAGGCACCAATGATTTTGAATTTAGAAAATAATCTTACTTCAATTAACATAAGACTTGAAACAAGATATTACTGAAAAGATGTCATTACTCAAAAGTCTGTTAATTTGTTTCATTGCATTGCCTACAAAAATAAAAATATTGATTATATATTACCTCGGTTAGCTAATATGAATGGTAACTTTTGCACATTTCAATAGGCATTGAACTATTCAATAGGCATTGAACTTCATAACTCTATTTTACAAATGCCTATCATCTGGAAAGGTTGACAACCTTGTTTATTACAAAGCAATATATTTGCAGGCAAGAATGAAAGTTATGAAAGAAAACTGGGCATCCTAAACGATGTACACTGTAAGAAAAAAAAGAGTATATTTCTGAAAGGGCATTGAGAGAGAGAGAGAGAGAGAGAGAGAGAGAGAGAGAGAGAGAGAGAGAGAGAATGAAGTGTAATTTAGGCCTGGGCATTGCCTTACTTACTTGGCTTAAAAACTTAAGAGTCTATAAAATTGAATTACCCATGGCGTTAATAAAATTGACACCTTTTCCTGAATAAAAGTCTTTATCTTTACATTGTTAAAGCCCTTAACTGTCCATCTCATCCTGAGTGTACTTGAGTATGACACTGACACATGTATCACTTCCTCTGTGTCATATGATTACTTTCTTGCGTAAAAAGTAAATGAAAAACGTTTAACAAGGCTAAACACTCCTTTTTGTTGACCCCTCATTCAACAAAAATTTGCTTTCTGGACTTATTTCCTTGTTAATTTCATTGTATTCTTATTATCTGTAATGTTACCCTTCTACATGTATTTATGTATTTCAAATTGATTTTATATACTCTGTATGTATTGTATATGTTTTTTAATGAAGAATGAAATAAATAAATACCATACCACCAAAACAAAATCAGTTTACTGAGATGTAGCACATGTATAATATATTTGGTAAAGTCCATAGCTGTTTGTCTCATATACTATGACTACACCAACAGTATTAGTATTCCATGGTTGTATTCTATTTGACAGCCAGCTACCCTGCTTAAACCAGAGGAGATATCAAGGATATTGATAATTTCAATGGTAAGTATGTTTTATGCCATATGTTACTTGTCAACATATGAGACACCAAAAGATCAAACACCTTGGACTTACCCGTTTTCAGTATTACACATGTAATCATTATGTTACAATTTTCCCTCAGTAATATTTAAAGCCGATTTTTACATCAGATGACAAACTTAAAAATTAGGAAGGATATTTCAACAGGCTTCAAGGCTATTCACTGAATTTCCGAAATATTAGGCTGTTCATGGAGTAGTTTGTATTCAAACATCAATTTTGATCCATATGACGCGTCACCTAGCATTATAGAATGCAGGATACTCAAAATTCAGATCATACCATGACGTACCGGTATGTCACATTTTTTCTCTAAATGCATGATCCCTAGTTGGGATTTTTCGACTATATATCGCATTAGTCCCTATGACAACAAATGGTTAATATCTACCAGGCTGATTTGAATACAAGATGAATTACCCGAGCACTGCAGGTGTCATGCATCAATGTACTCATGACATCACATTACTTCAACTGACAAGTATACAACCGACAGATGTGACTTTTCCATTTCCGAATCAATGACAGTGAGCTATTAACACACAGCTCCCCTTAATTACTGAGGCTAAATTTCTCTGTTTCTATGCCTCTAAGAAATGTGCAACAGCATTGTACAACATAAACTTCTTCTCAAGTTAGACCCTCTTAGCATCAATTTGAGTTACATGCATTTTAAAATGAAATTGCCTCACTGGTGAGTGAAATCATTAACTTACTTGTGGGTGACAAGTGATTGCAGTAGTTTTGCTGTTAGAGTTTGCTTGAAGTAAATGAGTGTAAGGAGAATATAATTTCTGCTGATCATAATAAGTAGTGGTATAAGTACCCCATAAAGATTACAAACAAAGAGAAGGAAACTGAGAGAATATCGATATGAGCCCCTCAAAGTGAAATCATGAAAATACTCCCTAAAAATGAATATACTGCAAACAACATAACTGAAGACTTTTAACACAGCACATCTGTCTAATCATAAACTAATTAGAACATGCAAGCTCCGCAAAGGTCATGTCAATTATTGATCATGAGGAACTGCCCTGTTTAATACAAATTTAATAATAAACATACAATGGTCTAGACAGTGTTCTGACTCCAATATCAATCTTTCACTTTTTAAACGGACAATGTTCAGCAATTCATCAATGACAAACTGTCTTACCAGGTATGATGGATTGATAAGGTACTTAAAGTTGCTAGACGACAGAGTGGCTTTAAGACATCACAAATTCGTAAAAACAGGAAGGAAAAGATCCATGTTGCTTTGAGGACATACCCATCGCTTCAGGACAGAATATTTTGGTCACGCAAAAGATAGGTGAATTAGAAAAGTGATTAATTCTGCGATGTGGGCAGACAGACAGACAGACGGAAAGAAACAGGATGTTAGTCAGCTTTCCATCATAATTTCTGAGATTTTTTCTAGAGGAAATCCGGAAAATATGTTATTTTCGAGATTATTCAATGATTCCTTTGGAATTACGACTTATAAAGAACATATCTCATGGAGTAATAAAAAATGTGTATATCTCTTTATATCATATGTAATACAATATCTATTGGATTAAATCAAATCATTAAATACACTTTTAAGAAATTCTTT